TCTGCCCGGGGCTCCACCCGCGTGAAATTTTGTCTGTCACAAAAGAACTTCATCACACGCGTCCCTGTTTCACAAACCGGGATAAAACTATATCCTATGTCCTTTGCCAGGACTCAAACTATCTCTATGTCAAATTTCATCAAAATCGGTTCCATGTTTAGGCGTGAAAGCGACACAGACAGACAGACAGAGTTACTTTCGCATTTATAATATTAGTAGGGATTACACCAATAACTATTGAATCGTATATTAATTTGAATTAATAGCATTTCTATTCCAACAGGCACAGCTAGCTAAGTGATGTCGCCTACTGGAGATTTGATAAGTTACAATTTTGCCATTGAATTTCATTCATAAGCGGACATTTACAATTTGCAATATTAGCACAGAATAATAATAAGTACTACGTACAGAAGTTTTACTTCGCAAAGGTATTAAAAAAATGTATGCTCAATGTCATTAACAATATGGTGTAATTTAGCCTGTCTCAAGAGTCAAGCACCATTTTGTTGACAAACGTCAGTGATCGGCACTGCGCCGAAGCTATAGGGCTGACTTCGGTAAAATGATGTGACGTGAGGTGCCAAACTGCGGAAAATGGCGGAGGAAATACATGATTTAGCATGAATTATCATGAATAATATTAACTACTTATTTACCTCTCAGTGTCTTGAGGCAACTTAAAAAAGTACATTCTGTGTTGTTATTATTATTTAGGCAGTTAAATACTGCACAGTATTTAGTACACCATTTTCTTTATTTTCTTCCATCATACACAAGAATACGCGTGCGTGAGTCAATGTTCGCTCGTATGTGAGGCCTTGTCGAATAGTATCCTGTAGGTGGGACATCGTGCGTGTTTTGTTTTCGATGTAAACTCGCGGAGATGAACAGGCCTGATATTAGACATAGTTTAAAAGAAATTAGATTTTTTGAATAGCTGAAATATTGTGGAAAAACATCACCCTGTAGCCAAAATTAGTGGCTTCCAGTGGCTCATGATACTCCTCTTCATTTGAATTTGAAAGGCGAGTGCGGCCAAGTTTTGCCGATAAATCGTAAAACTATTCCAAGTAATAACTTCAGGATCTTTCGGGTGTTTTCAGAGCCAATTAAAGTTGCTTTAAAATCGGTGCTGAAACTGGAGTGTTTACTATTATATTGAATCTCTTTAAAGTATAGAGACTTGTTATTATAATAACTACCGCTTCTAATGGGGCACAACTACATAAAACTGAAAAAACTTTTTTTAACTCAATCATCTCTACATATTTTACATAATTAGAATCCCAGAAAGGATATTAGGTACTCATAAGTACTCATTATTAATTATTTATAAGAGTCATTTTGTGAATTTCCCAGGAATCCCAGGGTAAAATTGGATTATGGTACAATAGTGTAAGTTTTAGTTTAAAAGTCACAGTAAAGTTTTATGAAAATTTTATTAAGTAGTTTCAATTAAAATTGGGTGGTCACTTTTCCTTTTTAGTTTCGTCCAGCATGCTTGTGCTAGTCAGCCCGATGAGTTCGGATATGTTCCGCCAGGTCGAAGCATTTATTGTCATCAGTAAATCGGACTCCAAGTATGCAGCCTCCACTAAAAATAAGAGTAAGATTATGGTGTATAGTGCATAACTAACTATTGACAGCATTATTGTTTTCCGGCAGTTAGAGGTAAGATAACGGGACTATTCCCACCTCTCGTTCCCACCACTGCAACTCCTGTGTAGCCAGGATCTACAGCTTGACCGCCACAAAAACCCAACCAATGAAGGTCAAGTTTGTCCCGGGGGAAAGTTAAACTGTCATTGGACCCGCAACGAAATTAATCAGAAGAACATAGGAGGAGTTCGAAATTAAGGTAAGATAGTCAGTTCCTCCGTGGTTGAGGATTCCGTGTGAAGCTCGCTTCCACCTTCGGCCTGATCGTCACTTACCATCAGGTGAGATACAGGCCAAGAGCTTCCTCGTTGTGGATAAAAAAATACTGCAAAGTGTAGTGTGTTACTGTGGTTCCGACAGAGTATAGACCCTTTATTCCCATCTACCCCCTTCAGGCTTGCCACCGGAGTGGTGATTGGCACTAATAATTGGCATTTACCACCCCCGGGGTAAATGGCACCTATAGTTTCATCTGCCCCCTTCGAGCTTGCTACCGGGGTGGTGGTTGGCACTAATTGGTGGCGTTTACCACGCCGGTGGTCAATCTACAACCAACCCCACTCTTCCCGTGGATGTCATAAAAGCAATAAGGGACAAACGTGGGAGGCAATGGCCAGCGTGGGGATTGTAGGCTAAATCCTCCATTTGCTTCTAGTATGTTAAATCAAATCAAATCAAATCATTTATTGCATTGCATTACATGTGGTTTGATAGTTGGTGAATGGTAGGGCAGCGCATCACATGCACCCTGCAAGGGCATAGCAAGCATTAAGTATACATTTTACAAAATAAAAGAAGACGTTACAATTTTAGATCAGTTCGTTCGTTTCAGCCAAATGACGTCCACTGCTGGACAAAGGCCTCCCCCAAGGTTTTCCACAATGAACGGTCCTGCGCTGCCCGCATCCAGGCTCTTCCCGCGACCTTTACCAGATCGTCGGTCCACCTAGTAGGAGGCCTGCCCACGCTACGTTTTCCAGCCCGTGGTCGCCACTCGAGAACTTTCCTGCCCCAACGGCCATCGTCTCTACGAGCTATAGCTTTAGATCAGTAGTAACAATTATTAATTATGTTATTTAATTATATTTCATTTAATAATATATTTATTCAATTTTAAATTTATTGCAGCCTAGTAAGTATAATATTCATCAATTTTGTAGAAACACTTATCACATAGAAAAACATTTAAGGACGCCACTTTATCATAATTATCTATCTGTCTTAAAAATTTAGAAAGGGTATTATATGTATAGCCTAGTTAGAGGGTCTTGCTCCTACAGTAGAGACTAGAGACAAAGGCTAGGTTGCACGGGTTACAGCACCATCTTACTTTAACTTTGACAAACGTCAAAAATCTATCAAACTCCATACAAAAGGCACCCGTTATAGTAGTTACGGTCAAACTTAGGTGGTGCAACGCAACCTAAATGTCCTGATGACGGAGTAAATAACTTAGGCTGCTGGGTTGCACCATCTTACTATAACTTTGACAAACGTCAAAAATCTATCAAACTCCATACAAGAAGCACCGTTATCGTTATAGTTACGGTCAAAGTAAGATGGTGCAACCCACCCTTAGTGGTGGTTGCATATCAGTTGACAGTTGAAAGGCATTCAGAGTGTAAAAATTACCTATACCTACCTACCTAAGAAGTTGCACATTTTCAAGCTATTTTAGTGTAGCGACACACCTACCGAACTTTCGGTAGTCTACGTCATTCAATATTTCGTCGCGAAAACATTTGCTAGACAAAGAATAGGAATTTGCTAAAAGCCACGTAATTTCAGCCGATGATAGATAGGTTCTAGGCCAGTTTTTTAATCCGTAGTTAATTTGTCTTATGACTAGTGGTTAAATTCGAGCAAAATGCGATTTTGAACTTTCTATCATAACTTTCGGCGCCACACTTTCATGACTCACTTACGAAAAAGTATTGTGAAAAAAAAATGAACATCTCTACCTCGCTCGTTTACATAAGGAAAACATTAGCTATAATAACAGTTTGCTGGTTGAAAACAACATTAACACTTGTAGGTTTTCTCTTGAAAAAAAAAACTTCAATCTTACCTCTCATTTGATTAACATTGTCTACAATCTTTTTCAAATTGGACAGCTCCTTTTCTATGTTCGCTTTTATATTCTGAAAAATATCTGGATCATCTACTCGTAAATCCAATCCTATATTTTCCATTTTGTTGAAATTCAGCTTTTTTCTCGTCGAGGTCGTTAAACCCTAAAGCGCGCGCTTTCGTTTTTTTTTTTAATTTTATTCGGAAAGCAAAGCTAATGGTGTTTATTCCGCTTACAACTAAAAAAATAAGTAATTTAAAATTTCATTTTTCAAACTTCATAATTTAGTTCGGAAAACTGAATTAAAATCCTGTAAAAGGTTATTTAAAATAAATTAAGTTTTCCTTTTTTTTCTCTAGCTTTATCAACAAAATTAATGTTGTAGGTGTACCAGAATCTCATGGCAAACAAAAATATTGGAAAAGTGTGTTTTTCATATGGCAATTGTCTATGGTTTAACTGTCACCTGTCAAAGAAAATTATGAAATCTGTCAGCCGCTGCAAAATTTTTGTAATCTCTTCTTGACTATTTGTTATTTTTCTGAAAAAGTCGAAAAAGTTCAAGCAAAGCATATTGTTTTCAATGTGAATTGTAAAATAAGGCATAATTCAAAGTCAATCTTTGATTCTAAAGCGCGTCGTCGAGTTGACAGTAAGTTGGACTGAAATGTTTTGATACATTTAGTTTATTACCCAACTGCGTCAGAAGGAGGGTTGGGTTTTTTTATATTATTCTTACTTAATAGCTGCTTTATCGGGGTTTTCAGGTATATCTCACAAATTGGTGCAGATGTTATGACNGAAATATAGTGTTTTAACATCAGGAACTTCTCCATTGAAATGCTGGAAGAGCAATTTATTTACAGTACCTCTTTATCTTGATCATCTGTTTATTGAAAAACAAGAAATGCAAGTGGAGTTTTAAGAATCGTTTTCTAGTTCTGAATGAAGTGATAAGTTAGAAGTATGATGCATAATAAAATTAGTTACTTAAAGTAATAATATACGATTTATTCAATTTCCAAAACATTTACCTATGTTAAAAATCTGATGTCTAACAACATTCTTCATACACATACCTACCTAAAATGTATATTCGTACTTCATGTTCATTAATATTAAAGTAATAAAAGTAAAAAATTAAATAGTATCAAGATCGTTTATTCCAATTTCCCCAGTATTGCTATCAACAAAGTTTATTTTCCCTATTTGCCATGAGATTCTGGTACACCTATACCTATCTTATTAGATTAAAATCATACGCAAATCCACGTGCCAGCATTTGTGTACCATTTGTAAAGCACTTCATCAACGCTTGATTTTTATCACCTCCCGGATCTCAATATTTTTGTCAACTGTCCAAAAAACGCGGGAACTCGTGTAAACTTTTTAAAAATTCACGTCACCGACGCAGTTCGTTGAATCCTAAAAAAGGAGGTCTGAATCATCGGATCGACCACAATAAAATCACTCGGCGAACAATTAGTACAAGCAGTCGAACAATGATGCCAATCGTCTCGAGCGAACTAAATCTACTTTTGGATGACTTTTGGTATGTGAGACGCGTCACAGTGCGAATGTCATTGGATTTATAAATACGATACAGCTCCAGAAATAGGTAGCTACAGGTTTTCCAGGCGTACGAACGAAAATAAAGTACCCTGGATCCGTTAAACAATATTATTGTCTCGGGCGGTTGGGTGGCGTTGAATAGTGAGTGTTTTAGTCTTTCGCTTTGCTTTTCTCCCTATTTTTTTATTGTGACGCTATGGATGACGATGAAATTCAACAATTCTCATTGCGCTGGCATAAACACCAGGTAGGTGAGTAATTTTTACTTTTTAAAACACGACACAGCATCTATGGCACAGGTACACAAACTTTTTTGTTAATACTCAAATGAAATTAAAAACAACTGACAATAAAAAAAATTGATAAATGAAATCTTTAGTTTATTTTTTAAAATTCAAATACTTACGAACTTTTGTTTTAAAAAACTTCTAAAGTTGAGAAGCGCATATTTAAAAAAAAATGTAAGAACTAAAACGAAAACTTAAGAAAACTTCTTATTTGTACAGAGCAGCAAATATTTTTGTAAAACTTTAAGACTGATCATATCAATATTAAAATAAAAAAATATTTAAAAAATCCTTATTAAAGTACTTAATTCTACTTACTTGATTAGATATTATTAAGTGTTGAAGAATTTGTTTGATACCTTGTTTACAACCAGCTCATGCGTAAATAAGATACTTACATTGTAAATAATTAGGAGTAATTAATATTAAATATAGATCTTAATCAAATTAGCTACTTGATACATAAATAATGAATTATGAACCTTATGTTCAGCGCAATAAGAAAACTATTGGAACAGCTTGTACATACATGGAGTAATCTAGCACCTCGCTTCTACGCTTATTCACACACACTAACAATGTGCCACACACACACTACTCCCCGCGGAATAAGAGCTACCTACTTTTGGCTGAGTTGCACTACCTTACTTTAACCGTAACTATAACCTTAACCGGTGTTTTTTATGGAGTTTGTCAGACTTTTGACGTTTGTTAAAGTTAAAGTAAGATAGTGCAACCCAGCCCAAACCCATCTTACTGTTACACTTGATGTGCTGTTGGTGTACTCACATAAATGAAAATACATGTTACACAAATAAAACGTTATTCATAAAAAAACTGTTCAGCCTTTAGTTAAAAAACACTGAAGTGCTTTTATTTTTTAACGTTTCACACTTTTCATTTGAAAGAAAGAAAGAAAGAAAAATAAGTGGTTTATTTGGTTCACACAACGTTTGTGTGTTTTCGTACATTAATTATTTTACACAAATTACCTAAGTTTTCATAGCTCAGTAGTCGGAGCAGTCGCCGCGCCTTGCAAGCGGATGGTCGTGAGTGGGTTCAAGTTCCAGCTGAGGCAATCAACATTTTCAAGTTTTTAATTTGAGTTAAAACACAAGTCACTGAATATTAGTTGTAATATTCAAATAACATTAGGCTGATGAAGCCTGCCCAACATAGTACCCACACTCGGAAAAAATTGAAGGATAGGCGAAGGCTTTGGCTCTTTTATTTGCTTCTGTAAATTCGAGGATCGTCCTCCTAAAACGAACGGAGACTAAATTGGCCTAGTGATGATTTTTCGGGTTGTTCTACAGTCTCGTAAGGCTGTCTTCTAAGTCACAGCTTACCCAAATTGTCCAGGGATCCATCTAAAGGCTGTTTGTCCACAGAACAGCGTGATAGGGGCCCTGGGTCGCATGCTGAGCACCGGAGCCCTGACAGACGTGACCCTCAGCGCCAGCGGGACCTCCGTGAAGGCACATAGGCTGGTCCTGGCGTCCTGCAGCCAGTACTTCGCGCAGCTTTTTAAGGTAACGCCTTAATTCATCCTACTAATATTATTTATATAAATGCGAAAGTCTGGATGTCTAGATGTCAGGATGGATGTTTTTTTCTCTTTCACGCAAAAACTACTGAAAGGATTTTGATGAATTACGGTATTAACATATAGACTATAATTTGTGACGATCTGTGACAAACTAAATTTCACGCGGGTGAAGCCGCAGGCAAAAGCTAGTTTTCTATAATTATACTACCATTATCAATCAACAGCATATCGGACTTTTCTTGAAAAATAGCACCTATCACCGCATTGACAGATGCCGCAGGTAGTATAGCTTGATGTGATGTGGACTTTCGTTTGTTTCAACCAATGGACGTCCACTGCTGAACAAAGGCCTCACCCAAGGATTTCCACATCATCCGGTCCTGCGCTTTCCGCTTCTACGTAGCTTCACCAGATCATCGCCACGCCTAGTGGAAGGTCTACCTACATTTAACAGCATAAAGGGCTATTCATTCATATCCATGAAGCCACTGTTCCGTCAACGTAATCGTTCACTTCAGTATCAGTGCTTCAGTTTTGTCCTTGTCAGTGATTCAATTCACACATGTTAGTACTCATCTCACGGAGCTTCAGTGGTCCGTGACTGAACTGTTACTTCACGGAAAATTGTGAATAAACCATAAAAAATAGTAGCAATGAAACTACTTACTCTTGATCCTTCCAGGAGTTAGACACAGAGAACAACACAGTGGTGGTGGTCCTCGGCTGCGAGGCGGCAGAGCTGAGGCTGCTGCTTACCTTCATGTATACGGGAGAGGTGACGGCTTCCAAGAAGATCCTGCCTTCGCTGCTCAGGCTCGCGCAGACATTGAAGGTTTCGGGGCTGACTGACGCTGACACGGTAAGAATCAGTTCAACCGCATACTTATAAGTGCTTTGGGATTCGAACGCCTTAGAAATAGACCTCCTCATCTTAACATTCCTAACTAATCTTTGGTTGAATTGGCTTATAATGATTATGATGCTCCATTGAAATATCACTAGTAATTTAGGTACCTACATTTAGAAAACGAGATTTCTAGCAAAATTTTGAAAAATTATGGATTTACCTGGTATTTATTGTTTTATCTATAAATCTATGCATAGAGCACCTTACGCTTATCTCTACAACTCTTTACATAGTTATTCATACAGGGTGTCCCAGAATGGATGAATCAAACTGATAGGGGAGGTAGCTCTACTAATGTACTATCCCAAAAAAAAATGAAAAAAAAATTGAGTTCGGATTGTTTTTTAAATAAAACTTGAAATCTAGTCATTATTTTCAAAAGTTTGTTTACAGATAAACGAAGCTATCATGTACAATTAATATTAGTAAGAAAAAAGTAGAAATATACTCCAAACGCAGCAATTATAGCCAGATACTTACTTAGGCAAAGCTGATTTATTTTCACTTAAAAAAAATGATTTGTTTCCTTATGCGCTTTATTTTTTTTCGTATTTTTTAGGGATAGTACATTAGTAGAGCTACCTCCCCTATCAGTTTGATTCACCCATTCTGGGACACCCTGTATAATCTTACCATTTTTCTACAGTGCATCATACTATACTAAAGCTTAATATTTTTAATAGTATATAAAATAGTTTTAAATAACAAATCTAATTACTTTTAATTGTTTCCAGAACTCTACACTAACACCCACGGACACCGATGCAACTCCAGAAACCGAGCAACCGCCGTCACCAGTCAACTTAGAACTCAAAAGCGACCAGAACTCCAACTTCATCGTCAACGAAAATTCCAACAGCAGCTCCAAACTGAACTTCGATGACGTCAGATCACCGACAAACGATATAAAAGACTCAATAGTGAATAGTAGCAACGATTTTATAAGAAACGAGAAGGATAGACTTAGTAAATTAGACCAGATAGTCCAGAATTTGTACAGCACGCATAAAATTGGGAATCCAACCGTTCCTGTTAGTCCAACTACGAATGCCCCAGGTGAGTTTTTTCTTTTGTTAAGTTTGTAAGCGACTCGATTGATTGAACTTTCGAAGAAGAACTGATTTAAAGACAAAGTTTGTAATTATTCATACAGAAATTAATAAATAATTAACTGGCAACCTTAATTTTTTGTTGGAAGTAACTTTCGTAAAATTCTGAAAATATTGGAGAGAAGTATTGTTAAGTAATTTTCAATTTCAATAGTCAATTTCATTTTTTCCAATAATATCGAGGGATAGCTTACTTGGAAAAGGAACCAGTGGAACCCTAATGAAGTGTTGTTGTTTTTTTTATTATTGGTGTCAACTATCCAATTTCGAAGTATTGATTCCGACAGATTAGATTAGTACGACTCCCACTAACACTATTCCCGTGGATGTCGTAAAAGGGGACTAAAGGGCAAACATCAGTAGGGCAAATCTCCGGCAAACATCAGGCCAGGGTGGGAAGTAGGGCAAATTCCCCATTAGCCTCTGACAAATTAAGAGAGTGTTGCAGTGGAGACGTTTCTTGATGATGACCTAATTTCACAACCTCAGAGACCAAGCCGTACGACAGAAAATGGCGCTTAAACAGCTCAGTATGCACGATAGGATATATCCTTGATTGGCCTCTAGTAAATTAAAAATTAAAGAGTCGTGCTGTAATGGACAGTAAATGACCTGATCTTCTTCTCAGTCGGTACACTCTTGTCAGGTCGTGGTCATCATTGTGAATCACGATGAGTGATGTTCATCGAAGAGCTGATGGCCGCTGGGGCAGGAATGTTCTTGAGTGGCGACCACGGGCCGGAAGACGTATGGACGTAGTAGCGTAGGCAGGCCTCCCACTAGGTGGACCGACTATCTGGTGAAGGTCGCGGGAGGTGCCTGGATGCGAGCGGCGCAGCACCGGTCTTTGTGGAAATCCTTGGGGAAAGCCTTTGTCCAGCAGTGGACGTCTTTCGGCTGAAACGAAAGATGTTCCTCGCAATACGGCGCCATTCCTCGCGGACAGCTTTCTGGGCACTTTCGTTAACTGAGCACTTAGTTGACCTGATAATCATGACCAATTTCACAACCTTTCAGATACCGAGCCGTACGACAGAAAATGGCGCTTGAACAGTTCAGTGTGCACGATCTGCCACAAGCGGCTCAGCAACCAGTACAACCTGCGCGTGCACATGGACACGCACGCGGGCCGCCGGCACGCCTGCGCCGCCTGCAGCCACGTGTCGCGCTCGCGGGACGCGCTCAGGAAACACGTGGCCTACAGGCGAGTCACTCTCTCCCCCTTTCTTTAGGACCTTTCTCTTATTTCAAACTGTATTGCAAGGTAAAGGCACTTTGAACCTCTTACACTCTCTCCGTCTCTTTCTCTCTTATTGACCTTGTCTCTCTCTCTCCCTTCAGCTTTGTCTCATTTCTTTTCCTCCCTCTTCCTTGAAGCTCTAATGTAGCGAACATGCAAGACACTTCCCCCTTTTTAGCCTCTCTCTTGCTTCAAACCATAACATAACGTACAGGTAAGTCACTTTTAGCTTTACAATCTAGGTTGCCACAAGGCACTTCTTTTCCCCTCTCACTCTTAAAGGCAGTGGCGATTTAATAGTCTCAGCAAAATACGTGCGCCTCTTTCTAGCACGGATGCGCCGCTTGCAGTCAAGAACCTAAGGCTAAGCACAACTTTAGGTTCCCGGAGACACTTTTTAGCTACTTTTCCTTCTTTAAACCCTGACATGAGTCCTAACCTCTCAATGTGGGTAAGAACATGGCGCCCCTTTCTCTTTAAACCCTGGCACAAGTCCAGTGGCTGAGCAGCTCAGTGTGCCCGATCTGCCACAAGCGGCTCAGCAACCAGTACAACCTGCGCGTGCACATGGACACGCACGCGGGCCGCCGGCACGCCTGCGCCGCCTGCAGCCACGTGTCGCGCTCGCGGGACGCGCTCAGGAAGCACGTGGCCTACAGGCGAGTCACTCTCTCTCTCTTTAGGACCTTTCTCTTATTTCAAACTGTATTGCAAGGTAAAGGCACTTTGAACCTCTTACACGCCCGCGCGACGCAATCAAACGCGCCACTTACGGCGCCGCGGCGAGTCACTTTCTACCTTTTTCTATCTCTGTCTTTTTTCTTTTATTAGTCCTCTCTCTCTCCCTCGTTCTCTATCTCTTTCTCTCACTCTTGCTTTAAGCGCTAGTGCCAAAGTACGCACACAGGCGAGTGATTTTGACCTTTTTAGCCTCTCTCTCCAAATTCAGCGTACAGGTGAGTCACTTTGAGCTTTACAATCTAGGTTGCTACCAGGCACTACTTTCCCTCTCACTCTTAACAGCAGTGGCGATATGATATTTCAATCGGCACGCCTGTAAGTAAGTACCATCTGTCTGTCATAACACAGAGGTTAAGTATTACTTTAGGTTGCTGGAGTCATCTTTTAGCTACTTTATCTTCTTTAAACCCTGACATAAATCCTAAACTCTCAATTCAAGAACATGGCGCCCCTTTCTCTTTAAACCCTGGCATAAGTCCAGTGGCTGAGCAGCTCAGTGTGCACGATCTGCCACAAGCGGCTCAGCAACCAGTACAACCTGCGCGTGCACATGGACACGCACGCGGGCCGCCGGCACGCCTGCGCCGCCTGCAGCCACGTGTCGCGCTCGCGGGACGCGCTCAGGAAACACGTGGCCTACAGGCGAGTCACTTAGGCTCTTGCTGTCTCTTTCTTTCTTTCTTTTCCTCTCTCTTTTTAGCTCTAATGCAGGATATAAGCAAGACACTGAACATCAAACAAGCTCGCGCGTCGCGCTCGGCTGATCGATCACACGTCACTTTTAATCTTATTGACCCCTTCCATCTCTTTCTCTCTCCCTCTCTCGCTTTCTTTCTCGTCCTTTAAGCTTTAATGCAGCAAACAGACAAGACGCTTTTGTCCTTTTTAGCCTCTCTCTTCAAACTAGAATGCAACGTCATGGCGAGTCACTTTAAACCGGTTTAGTTTCTCTTTCTCTGCTATCAGGACTTTCTTTCTTCCTCTGTCTACCAGGACATTCTTTCTTCCTCTGTCTTTAAGGCAGTGGCACCTGAAGTCCTACAGGCGCGCGTGCGCCGCCTGTAGCCGAATCTTCAGACTCGTAAGTCTGAAGATAAGTAGGACTTTAAGTTGCTAGAGACACCTTTCAGCCCCATTCTCTATTTTAAACCCTAGTATGACTCCTGTCCTTCAATGTAAGAAAGACCATGGCACCCTTTTCTCTTAAACCCTGGCATAAGTCCCGTGGCGGCTGAGCAGCTCAGTGTGCCCGATCTGCCACAAGCGGCTCAGCAACCAGTACAACCTGCGCGTGCACATGGACACGCACGCGGGCCGCCGGCACGCCTGCGCCGCCTGCAGCCACGTGTCGCGCTCGCGGGACGCGCTCAGGAAACACGTGGCTTACAGGCGAGTCACTTACAGCCTCTTTTAGCCCTTTTATCTTCTTTCAAACCATATAGCAGCGTACAAGCGAGTCACTTTGAACTTCGAAAGCGGTTGCGCGTCGCGGTCAGGAAAAACATCGCGAACAGACGTACCATTTGCAACCTTTTTATCCCATCTCCCTCTCTCTCTTCAATCGCTCTTCCTTTCTGCTGGTCACAGGCGAGTTATTTTAGCCCTTTTTAGCCACTCTTTCTTTAGACCTGGATGCAGTGTACGAGCAAGTCACTTTAAACTATGTTGCTAAAAGGCACATCTTTCTCTCTCACTCCTTAAGGGAGTGGAGATTAATAGTCCCAGCAACACACGTGTGCCTCTTTCTATAGGGCAGTGTTAATATTAACAGTTCGACCAGCACGGATGCGGCGCTTGCAGTCACGAGTCTGAAGATAAGTACGACTCTAGGTTGCTGGAGACACTTTTAGCTATATCTCTTCTTTAAACCCTGACCTGAGTCCTAACCTCTCAATGTAAGTAAGAACATGGCGCCTCATCTCTCTTTAAACCCTGGCATAAGTCCAGTGGCTGAGCAGCTCAGTGTGCACGATCTGCCACAAGCGGCTCAGCAACCAGTACAACCTGCGCGTGCACATGGACACGCACGCGGGCCGCCGGCACGCCTGCGCCGCCTGCAGCCACGTGTCGCGCTCGCGGGACGCGCTCAGGAAACACGTGGCTTACAGGCGAGTCACTTAAGCCCCTCTCTCTTTTTCTTTCTTTCTCTTTCTCTCTTTCTTTCTCTCTCTCTCTCCTTTTAGCCCTAATGCAGCTTAGGCAAGACACTATGAACCTCAAATACGCGCATACGATTCACTCTAAATCCTTTCATCCTCTCTCCTATGCCAGCCACTATGAGCTTAAAACCGGCTACCAGGACCTTCCTTCTTCCTTTGTCTTTAAGGCAGTGGCAACATTGTAGTCCTAAAGGCGCGCGTGCGCCGCCTGTAGCCACGAGTCTCAAGATAAGTACGACTCTAGGTTGCTGGAGACACCTTTCAGCCCCATTCTCTATTTTAAACCCTAGCATGAATCTTGATCTCCCAATGTAAGAACATGGCGCCCCTTTCTCTCTAAACCCTGGCATAAGTCCAGTGGCTGAGCAGCTCAGTGTGCACGATCTGCCACAAGCGGCTCAGCAACCAGTACAACCTGCGCGTGCACATGGACACGCACGCGGGCCGCCGGCACGCCTGCGCCGCCTGCAGCCACGTGTCGCGCTCGCGGGACGCGCTCAGGAAACACGTGGCTTACAGGCGAGTCACTCTCTCCCCCTTTCTTTAGGACCTTTCTCTTCTTTCTGGCAGCGTAAAAGCAAGACACAGAACATCAAACACGCTCGAGCGTCGCGCTCGATCAGGAAACACTTGGCCTACAGGCGAGTCACTTACAGCCTCTTTTAGCCCTTTTATCTTCTTTCAAACCATATAGTAGCGTACAAGCGAGTCATTATGATGCTCGCGCGTCGCGCTTGATGAGGAAACACGTCGCTTACAGGCGAGTCACTTTTTTTAACCTTATTGACCCCTTCTGTCACTTTCTCTTCCCCTCTCCCGCTCTTTCTCTCTTTTCCTTTAAGCTTTAATGCAGCAAAAAGACACGACGCCTTTGCCCTTTTTAGTCTCTCTTCAAACTAGAATGCAACGTCATGGCGAGTCACTTTGAACTGGTTTAGTTTCTCTCTTTCTCTGTCTTTAAGGCAGTGGCAACATTGAAGTACTACAGACGCGCGTGCGCCGCCTGTAGTCACGAGTCTGAAGATAAGTAGCTGGAAACACTTTTGACCTACTTTCTCTTCTTCAAACCCTGACACGAATCCTGATCTCTCAATGTATGTAAGAACATGGCGCCCCTTTCTTTTTAAACCCTGGCATAAGTCCAGTGGCTGAGCAGCTCAGTGTGCACGATCTGCCACAAGCGGCTCAGCAACCAGTACAACCTGCGCGTGCACATGGACACGCACGCGGGCCGCCGGCACGCCTGCGCCGCCTGCAGCCACGTGTCGCGCTCGCGGGACGCGCTCAGGAAACACGTGGCTTACAGGCGAGTCACTCTCTCCCCCTTTCTTTAGGACCTTTCTCTTATTTCAAACTGTATTGCAAGGTAAAGGCACTTTGAACCTCTTACACTCTCTCTCTCCCTTCAGCTTTGTCTCATTTCTTTTCCTCCCTCTTCCTTGAAGCTCTAATGTAGCGAACATGCAAGACACTTCCCCCTTTTTAGCCTCTCTCTTGCTTCAAACCATAACATAACGTACAGGTAAGTCACTTTTAGCTTTACAATCTAGGTTGCCACAAGGCACTTCTTTTCCCCTCTCACTCTTAAAGGCAGTGGCGCTTTAATAGTCTCAGCAAAATACGTGCGCCTCTTTCTAGCACGGATGCGCCGCTTGCAGTCAAGATAAGGCTAAGTACAACTTTAGGTTGCTGGAGACACTTTTTAGCTACTTTTACTTCTTCAAACCCTGACATGAATCTTAACCTCTCAATGTAAGTAAGAACATGGCGCCCCTTTTTCTTTAAACCCTGGCATAAGTCCAGTGGCTGAGCAGCTCAGTGTGCACGATCTGCCACAAGCGGCTCAGCAACCAGTACAACCTGCGCGTGCACATGGACACGCACGCGGGCCGCCGGCACGCCTGCGCCGCCTGCAGCCACGTGTCGCGCTCGCGGGACGCGCTCAGGAAGCACGTGGCCTACAGGCGAGTCTCTTAACCCTCTGTCTCTTTCTTATTAACCTTCTGTCTTTTTCTCTCCCTCTTTTTCTTTTAGGCCCTGATGCAGCCAACAGGCAAGACACTTGCCCTTTTTAGCCTCTCTGCTTCAAAGAAGAATGTACAGGTAAGTCACTTTTAGGTTGCCACAAGGCACTACTTTCGCACGAGTCGCTCTCGCGGTACGCGCTCAGGAAACACGTGGCCTACAGGCGAGTCACTTTCTCTCTCTTTTTCTTTCTCACTCCCTCTTTTTCTTGCTTTAGGCCCTAGCCCTGGTACAGACACTTTCGCCATTTTTATAGCCTCTCTCTTACTTCAAAACAGAACGCAGCGTAGGTACAGGCGAGTCACTAAATCCTTTCATCCTTTCTCCTATTCCAGCCGCTTTGAGTATCTGTTATCAGGGACTATTTTCTCCCTCTCTCTTTAATCTTAAAACCTGCTACCACGACCTTCTTTCATCTGTCTTTAAAGCAGTGGCAACATTGAAGTCCTAAAGGCGCGCGTACGCCACCTGTAGCTACGAGTCTCAAGATAAGTACGACTTTAGGTTGCTGGAGACACTTTTTAGTCACTTTTTCTCTTTAAACCCTAGCATATAAGTACGACTTTAGGTTGCTGAAGACACCTTTCAGCTCCATTCTCTATTTTAAACCGTAGTATGACTCCTGATCCCTCAATGTAGGTAAGAACATGGCGCCCATCTCTCTTTAAACCCTGGCATAAGTCCAGCGGCTGAGCAGCTCAGTGTGCACGATCTGCCACAAGCGGCTCAGCAACCAGTACAACCTGCGCGTGCACATGGACACGCACGCGGGCCGCCGGCACGCCTGCGCCGCCTGCAGCCACGTGTCGCGCTCGCGGGACGCGCTCAGGAAACACGTGGCTTACAGGCGAGTCACTTAAGCCCCTCTCTCTCTCTTTCTTTGCTTCTCTCTCTTTTTCTTTCTTTCCTTTTAACCCTAATGCTTAGGCAAGACACTATGAATCTCAAATACGCTCGCGCGTCGCGCTCGATCAGGAAACACGTTGCGTACAGGTACAGGCGAGTCAATTTCAACCTTATTGACCCTCTTTCTGTCTCTTTCTCTTTGTTCCTCTCTATCTTCCTTTATGCCCTAGCCCTCGTACAGACAAGATACTTTAGACCTTTTGAATTCCTCTCTTACATCAAACCAGAATGCATCTTTATACAGGCGACTAGCTTTGGTCGTCCGCTACGCGGGCTAAAAAAGCTAGTACAGACGATTCACTCTAAATCCTTTCATCCTCTCTCCTATGCCAGCCACTATTAGCTTAAAACCTGCAACCAGGACCTTCCTTCTTCCTCTGTCTTTAAGGCAGTGGCACCATTGAAGTCCTACAGGCCACGAGTCTGAAGATAAGTATGACTTTAGGTTGCTGGAGAAACTTTTTAACTACTTAGGTATTCTTCTTTAAATCCTGGTATAAGTCCTTTGGTGGATGAGCAGCTCAGTATGCACCATCTGCCACAAGCGACTCGGCAATCATTATAACCTGCGCATGCAGCAGTTAATGTGTCAGTCAAGAATGGCACTTAAAAAAACTATATCAACATACATAATATAATTCTGAATAGTAAGTCTTAATGGCAATTTTTAATTTACAGACATGCACCGCCGCGGGACTCTCACCACTTGTGACCAGGCTTGGGGTCGGATGAGTAGGAAAATTGCCTTAAACTAAACCGAGGAGTACATTGTCCCGACCCAAACCCAGAAACTGCCCTTGATATTTAAGCTACAACTGGAGTTGAACCGAAAACGTAGGTATGATGAAAAAGTCTAATAACCTAACTTTTTGCAGAGCTGCCAAATTAGTTAATTGTTCCCGGAGCTACTTTGAAGGCCACTAGAGTTGTGAAGCTCCTACTTCTTTTATAGGAACGTTTCAATGCCTAAGGCCACGTTTTCTATACAGGCGGGGCGTGTAACGGAACGTCATATCATAAAGACCTTTGACCTCTATGGTGTGGGTCATAACAACTGAGGTCACAAGTGTCACAACCCTAGTCATAAAATCATGAAGATGGCTTAAAATGACCTCATAAAAATAAAAATTCGTTATTTTTTTGCATGTACGCTTTTATAAAGCATTTTTACAATTTCAGAAGGAATGTCCTTAACAAACAAACCAGTGACTGACTCTCTCACTTATGAATTGAACCCAGGGCCGACTTTTAGTACCTGCTCTGGGCATATGAGGATCAACCCATTCATAAAAAAAGCTTTTTTGAGGGCATTCAGGGGCCCCCTGGATCGCTGGACCCCTAGTGCCCAGTGGGAAAAAGGGGCCTAATCGAACCCATTACCTCCGAACCCGGAAAACTGAAGAACTCCCCGTTACATGCTCCGCCATGACCTTTCTTTCAAATTTTTCTTCGCACTTTATTGCCTTTTCGTGAATGAAGGTACCCACCGAACGCATGATTACAATCATGAATGTAGCGCAACAAAGCGTATTTCGTTATTTTGTATTTGTTCTATTTTAAACTTTTGTATCCAATTTATAAAGACATGATGGACTGTTCTTTTATTTATATTATACAGATTTAGTTATAGTTTTTTAACGATTTAACACTTAATTATTAATATTCTGTGATAAGTCAGTTACAGGCATAGCAAATAACTGAATAGATTATTGCAGTATAGTGGAAAAAGGAGAGGGGTGTGTTTTTGTTACGTCATAAGCGGCGAGACTACAGACGTGTACGTCAGGTTGTGACAGCTCTATTACGTCATATGACATCCCTCCCCTTACTAAAGCCTGGTCCGTGAGCACGTAGAATTTTGTGCAATGACCCCTAGCTACCCATCCTTATCGCTCGCGCGTAATTATATTGCTGTCGCGACTGTGCGACTGGCACCCGCAGTAAGTGTGCGAGCGCGATAGCAACATAATTACGCGCGAGCAATAAGGGTGGGTAGCTTGGGGTCATTGGACAAAATTTTACGTGCTCACGGACCAAACTATAGTCCACTACCGCTGAAAGGTCATAGCAGACTTATCAACTCAGAAAGTGATCAACACCATAATAATATCGCCTTTCGCGCGCTGTCAACCGTGAGGCAAGGCGTTTACGTTACGTTGCGGATAAGTGTGCGTTGCAGTATGGAGTTTCATACAAATACTGATCGCCTCGAGTGGTACGGTTACGATCCCTTTCCGGATTGATAAGTGTGCTACATCCTGAAACCTATTATGCCTGTCAAATTACAGCCTCTGGCATGTCAACCTACCAAAAGACCTGTGATTTTGAGACGTTAGTTTGCTCAACTATGAACCTTATATTCATTTAGTTTAGAATCTATTTCGGAAATTCTTGGCAGGTTGACCTGTTCGCGGCTGTACAAACTGTACATGAACCAATGAGACAGAAATCGGAAATGTAATGCTCGCTCACACGGTATAAAAAGTGAGAGAGATGAAAGAAATATTGTATCCGACAATGAAAAATCAAAAACCTTTTGAAAGGGCTGTATCTGTGAATTATGTTGTCTCTGTTACGCATACACAAACGACAGAGACGACACTAACGCTAATCTTTAAACTTTTGTGACTTTTCCTAAATTCAGATACAATTAATTTTCTTAGTGGATACAAAATTTGTATTGAAATTTTAATAACTTATTTTATACACATCTGTCTCATATTTTTTTCACAATGTTGACAACTGATCTAGTCATTTATTTTAATTATAGTAATTGTTTTAGTATAATTTACGTTGTAACGCACAAAAAGACATTATTTAAAGACAATAAATATTTATAGTTGAATTTTATAATTTCTGTTTTATTTTAATTAAAAAATATATATAGATCGTAGCGTGTAGCCTTCCTCGATAAATGGACTATCTAACACTGGGGGCCGTCCATAAATTACGTCATCGATTTTTTTCAGATTTTAGACCCCCCCCCCCTACAATCATCCTAGCGTCATTTCTTAATGACCCCCCCCCCCCTTCTCCCAAAATTGACGTCATTACCAGTTTGACAAAATTAAAACACTTGTAGAATCACCTTTTTTTTTTTTAATAGATAGAGTGATTCTTAAGAANCCCCCCCTAATTTAGAATGACGTAATATATGGACGGCCCCCTGAAAGAATTTTTCAAATCGGACCAGTAGTTCCGGAGATTAGCGCGTTCAAGTAAACAAACAAACTCTTCAGCTTTATAATATTAGGAAATGTATTCTCAAAAATAAAAAGCCAATATTGTACAAGTGTATACAATTTATTTATCATCTTACATACTCCATTAGTATCAGAAAAGATATAAAAAAGAAAAATATATCAGAAATTAGTATAAAAATACTGTTTAGAAAAGCTACACGCGTCATTCAGAAAAACTATATTAGAAGGATATATTTTTTCTGAATATCGCGTATACAATTCATAAAATATACTGGTATATGCTGAATGGTAAAATAATAATAATATAAGTACTTATTTGATATTAATAGGAACAAAGACCTTTTTGGAAAAAGTTGAGCAAGTGAAGCGAGTAGACAACACACACACTACATTTTTTTTCATAATCATAATCATAATCATTTATTTGCAATTAGACATGGTATATAAAGATGTTAGGTACAAACAGTGAGAACCATACATGTTTAGCTAAAATTATTAGCATGCAAAAGTTAAATTAGAAACACCACAATATTAGGGACGATTCTAAAGAAGAACAAAACTACAGCAAGTCAAAGAACTCTTTTAAATCGTAAAGTGTCAGTGATAGCAACCATTTACTCAAATGTTTCTTAAAATTACAAATGTTTAATGTCCTAAATTCTTTGGGTATTTTGTTATAGATTTTAATACACATGATTAAACAGCTATTTTTGTTAGAGTATACTTTTAAACAATAGCACTAATTCCAAATCTATTGGGTGCCACAAAGTTAAGCACGATGAGCAGCCGTCTGTACTACGTAGGGACGTAATAAAGACTGGATTTATAAATAAGTCATCAAAATTGACATTCATTTTAAATTCAAAACCTGTTAAAATTGCCCAACAATAAAACTATCCCAGCTATGACATTTACAGTAGGGCGCAGTAGCACAGAATAATAATAAGTACTACGTACAGAAGTTTTACTTCGCGAGGGTATTTAAAAAAATGTATGCTCAATGTCATTAACAATATGGTGTAATTTAGCCTGTCTCAAGAGTCAAGCACCATTTTGTTGACAAACGTCAGTGATCGGCACTGCGCCGAAGCTATAGGGCTGACTTCGGTAAAATGATGTGACGTGAGGTGCCAAACTGCGGAAAATGGCGGAGGAAATACATGAATTATCATGAATAATATTAACTACTTATTTACCTCTCAGTGTCATGAGGCAACTTAAAAAAGTACATTCTGTGTTTTTATTATTATTTAGGCACTTAAATACTGCACAGTATTTAGTACACCATTTTCTTTATCTTCTTCCATCATACACAAGAATACGCGTGCGTGAGTCAATGTTCGCTCGTATGTGAGGCCTTGTCGAATAGTATCCTGTAGGTGGGCCATCGTGCGTGTTTTGTTTTCGATGTAAACTCGCGGAGATGAACAGGCCTGGCAGTAGCGATAGTAATCAATACTGGGTGATTAGTTCCGATTTTTGCCACTTGACGTTTCAGAATCGTTTCACTATATTTTGACAACTAACAATTATATTACATTGATGATGTAACAATACATACAACTATCGCTATACATACAAACTATTATTATATTTTACCATCGCACATATCAGTATAGAGGACCTTTACAAAATGCGTCAACACACGTTAGTAAAAGATCAAATAAACGGTGACAATTTACAAATGTACAGACAAATGCTTGGGACTGATTATACGATATACACATTTTATATTTATACGAGCCAATAAAGATACAAAATGCAGTGTCTGCCAAGATATATTACATCGACGTTAAGAAATGGCTAGGTAGACATTGGACATAATAAATATGAGAAAGAATTATTATTTGTATACTTGACACCATTTATCCAATAATTCCAAAATCCAACTATGTATTTTATAACTTTAATGTAGCCGTGAAAATCGAGTTGATTTACAATTTGCTGTATAATTAAATTTTTAGTAGCGTTGAAATCAAATGTCAATTGATTTGGCCGGAATATGACGTCATAATTCAGAATTGCTATACAAAATATAGTGCGTTTTGACAGTTCACAAAAGTATATCAATTCGCTGTGGCGTCAAGTACTTATTTCCCCATCGTCGATGTGTATTAAATTGACAAAATATACACAAATATTATATAGAGGATTTACAATAGGCCTATATTTCAATATAACTAAAATATTCAATTTTTACATGGACTTGCTCACATAGAAAATTTCGGACTTTTTTGGAATCGCTATGAAATGTTAGACGGCTAACGTTAAATGAATAATAAATAGTAATAATAAAAGTATGCATAAATAACTTGCTATTGCATTACAAAGAAGCAAACTGCAGCCGATATTTAAACTTACATTTCATACTGAACTGAACAGCATTTTCTCCCATAGTTACGTCTATTTTATTAAGTGAAAAAACATAATATCTATCTTTAACAGTTTATATTATTAACAGCAAAAGATAAAACAGAGTGAGTAATGCAAAAGACACAAAGTTTACACTTAAGTTATTGGCGGGGCAAAAATGCAAAATGTTTTTGAGATCTACCTATCAAAATCTCACCTCAGTCCAATAAAGCAATACTCAAAACTCTGGTTAGTAACGAAATAAGTTATCTAACTGAGCATTTAAATTATACAACTTAAAGTTAGAAGCAAAATAAATATGTTAGAATTTCATATGACTTAAATTCATTTAACTCTTCAAGTGTTCGGTTTGTAGAGAAATATTCCTTATTTTTAATGACTGATTTTATTTTGTTCAAAGATTTGTTTTTCTCAAATAAAAACCACCTCAGAACTGTAGTTTCACCAATATGGTTGAAGTAGGGATTTTTCAGTCCAATAATTGAGTAAATTGATTTTAATATGACTTATCATTATGACAGAACCATCCCTTACATGTGTTTATCTATGGTCTATGGTTAACACGAATTATCGACCATTTATAACTCCCTAAAACTACAATTATTCTCGTCAGCTTGAAGCGATCAGGACGTATCATAAAATCTCAAAATAAAGAATATTCCCTTTACAAACCTTTAAACCCAATCTTCAGGCGTTCGGCCTGTCGCTTGCTGGCCTTACAGGCCTTAGGCCTTGGGCACGTTCCAGATACGCGTGTTGGCATCCTGGCCCACAGACACCACGGTCTCGTCGTCAAGCCACGCCAAGCCAGTGATTTGGCTTTGGGGGTGGGCGTCTGAAAGAAAGAAATATTCGTTAGTGATGCAGTAACGGTGTCACGCAAATAAGGTAATAGTTCATAATTATTGAATTAACTAATAAAATGACGATTTTAAACAAATAGCTATAATAGTCGGTTGACATTGAAAAACAGAACCAAAAAGTAACGTACAATTTGTATAGACAGTGTTTTGCTGTCTGTGTAAGTATCTTCATGAGGACTACTGTGTTTATTTTGTGCTCACTGATTGTCGCCTTACAGACCACTATGGGAACATGGCGCTCCAGATTATGATACTAGTGTCCAGCAAGCTAAACGCGAGTCCGAGTTTGGACTGAAGGCCACAGTGGACTACGGAGGCCTCACAGGCCACCAGTATGACACTCACTCTTGATGATGGTGTGCTTGGCAGGCTACGTAGCACTGGCAGGACCACGGAGGCCTCACAGGCCACCAGTACAACACTCACTCTTGATGATAGTGTGCTTGGCAGGCTAATTAACACTGACTGGACCATGGAGGCCTCACAGGCCACCAGTATGACACTCACTCTTGATGATGGTGTGCTTGGCGGGCTGCTTAGTACTGGCAGGACCACGGAGGCCTCACAGGCCACATGTACTTATGTGATATGACACTCACTCTTGATGATGGTGTGCTTGGCGGGCTGCAGCGCGCTCCAGATGATAATGCTGGTGTCTAAAGAACCAGATGCAACGCGCTCGGAGTCGGGACTGAAGGCCACGCAGTTCACGCGAGCTGTGTGGAGCCCTACTGGACCGTGAGGCCTCACAGGCCACCAGTGTGACACTCACTCTTGATGATGGTGTGCTTGGCGGGCTGCAGCGCGCTCCAGATGATAATGCTGGTGTCCAAAGAACCAGATGCAACGCGCTCGGAGTCGGGACTGAAGGCCACGCAGTTGACACGAGCTGTGTGGAAGCCCCACTCCTTGTTGTGAGCCGGCTGGAAGATTAACATTCAGTATATTTAATTACTGTCAATATAATAAAACAACCGACTGATTGTAACCTTAAAATTCATTCGACGAGTCATTTTTTTTTCTCACTCTTTTGCCAGTTCTTTTTTGACAGTTCCGTGGGTTTACCTACTTCCACTTGAGTGGCCAATACGCGCACTAGCCGTTTGAGAAGTTATTATTTCTAATACATTATACAAATATACACTCAACATCAAATAAACCGCACCTTCCGCGACGCGAACTTTAAAGATTTTCTTCTGACACAATCATGGTGCCCCAACAATATTGGTGTTATTGTGTTGAAAGCCCAATAAATATCCTTAAAGAAAAACACATTTAATTTCTAAATAAATGATTATCATATACCATAAATGTGACTTGAAAAGAGACCTCACTTTGGGCTCACCTCTGGGATCAATTAGACCAAATTTTATGGTTATTAAACCAAATAATGATCACACGTGTCCTCTTTAACAGATGGATACCGATTAATCGCAACTTAACAGTTTTATAGCCATAAAAGTTGGCTCAAGCGTAATAGCCTATTTTTTGAAGAAGTGACTCTGGATCCTTCTAAAGACACATTTTTGGGGTTAAAACCTTTCCTTTAATGAAATGAAGTTTAGAACTAGGCTTTTAAATGGTGGCAATATTGATGGGAAGAGGGGATGCTTACGTTTGAAAGTGCTTGTTGCGGGAGGTGCGATTTATTTGATGTTGAGTGTAGTAGTAGATACCTTAACAGTTACAAATAAGTCAACATCATCTTGTACTTTTTTAACACTAATGTTACTCAAGTTCACTTGCACAGTTGCACTTGGATCTATTGGATTACTCACGTTGCGATGCGGTGTTTTGTGAGATTTTATAGTTGTTCAATTGCTCTTGTATTAAAATGTTTTAGGTAGTTTACTTACCTTGTACTCATCGGTCGAGTACAGTATAACCTTCCGGTTGCCGTCGCTAGCCACCAGATATTTAGAGTCGGGGCTGTAAGCGACGTCGGTGACGGCGCCCAAGTGTGTCAGCTCCACGCTGGGCGTGAGAGTGCGCACGTCCAACGTGTAGATGTGCACCTTGTTGTCCGCGCCTGAGGGAATTGATTCTTATGTCAATGGAATAATGTTCATAATATCTAAATCCACGTTGGGTGTATGACTATTATTCTCTAGCGCCTAAGTCAGTGCCTGAGGTATGTAAGCGGCACAGGTGTTATTAAGATCGTGCATTTGCGACGACAGTGTGACATCTCTAATGAAACTATAGTACAAAATGTCGCACTGTCGTCGCAAATGTCAAACGTCAGCGAGACTACAGATATGCTTCAAATGTGTATGCTCTGTCACGTCATAATATGTCAATGACACCCTCCCGTTCTTAGACGCTAATTCGCGCTAGACTCTACAGCAGGGGTGGCCAACTTGATTAGACATAAGATCTACTGTTTACTAACGAAACCCTGGGCGATCTACCACTTACATACTTCTTGAAATCTTAAATGAAACAGCATAGTTGTACACAATCATGTAGTATATTTTGTCTTGCCACGATCGACTGGACTAATATTCGCGATCGACCGGTCAATCAGGATCGACCGGTTGGCCACCCCTGCTCTAGAGTTTAGCGACCTAAGGCATTGACTCAGTTACTGAATCAATGACTGAGGTATGGGCGGCTAGAACCTTTATTTTTTCACGTTATGTGGGAAATTGGACCGTAAGTCAATGGAATAAGGTCCATGTCTATTGTCTCGCTAGCCACCAGATATTTGGAGTCGGGGCTGTAAGCGAATTGAGCCGTAAGTCAATGGGATATGGTTCATAGTAGCTAAGTTTACTATCCGCGTTGGATCGAGCTTCGAACTCCTCTATTTTCTTCTGATTTTCGTTGCGGGTCCAATGACAATTTAATTTTCCCCCGGGACAAACTTGACCTTCACTGGTTGGGTTTTTATTGGCGGTCAAGCTGTAGATCCTGGCTACACAGGAGATGCAGCGGTGGGAACGGGAGATGGAAATAGTAGTAGGTAGCGCTTAATTCAGTCAGGGTCTGAGGCATGGGAGTGGCACAGGAGGGTGTTTTTGAGACGTCAAACGTCAGCGAGACTTCAGATTTGTATGCTCTATCACGTCATAGTATGTCAATGTCCCCCTCCCATGCTGCGGCTATGGCATATGGGCGTCTAAAGCCTGGTCCGTGAGCACGTAGAATCCCGTCCAATGACCCCAAGCTACCCATCCTTATCGCTCGCACGTAATTATATTGCTGTCGCGACTGTGCGACGGGCGCCCGCAGTGAGTGTGCGAGCGCGACAGCAACATAATTACGTGCAAGCGACAAGGATGGGCATTTTACGTGCTCACGGACCAGGCTTTAGACCCTTTATTGTGCCCGCTGTGGGAAATTGAATCGTAAGTCAAAGGTATAAGGACAATGTCTAAGACGTCTTGCTAGCATTTGGAGTCAGGACTGTAAGCGACGTCGGTGACTCTTCTTGAATCGTATGTCAATGCCAATGGTCCATCATGTCAATACCTAGTCTCCGCCTTAGAAGGGTTACTCTGAAAAAGGTTGCTATCCCTTTCACGCAAAGCGAGATGCAGCTTGAGCGACGGTGACTGACAGACCCGAAACTTTGAGAATAGCCCTGCACTTAGGTCTATTCCACTTTGATCACCTGGCTTTGATGACCCAGGTGATCAAAGTCCACTTCCAGCGACAATTTAGTGTCCTTTGATCACCCACGGATAAGATGCCCTGGGTGAGCAAAGTGGACCCCAGTTAAATTATTATTTTAGTGTCCTTTGATCACCTACATACAAATCACACCTCCTCTGATTAGACACGTCATGTCCAATTGTAAGTACAAACATTTTCTTAATAGTACAAGTTTTACAAGTTTTAGATTAGTAATACCAGCCCCCCTAGACAAGTAGCACTTTTTGATCGAATCGAAAATTGGATACGTTATAACTTCGTATAGAAAAAAGAAGGCTAATCGACCATCCTTCGACTGGTTTGCGATTTTAAAGTAAATTTTGTCTAGACCCACAGGGCATAAAGGTAGTAGAAGAGTAGATAAACGATTTAGTCTAGCAAATAAATCTTGCTGTCGAGCTTCAAGAGGTAAGTATATAGCTACGACTGTTTTCCTTAGGCCATTAGTTTAACCACCAAGGCCAGGTTATTTTATAAGTTTTTAAAGTGGATTTTTGGGTATCCTTCCGTTTGGCCAAATTACTTTTCGCCAAATTTCACTTCGCAAACAACTTATCGCCAAAGTTTCATTTCCCAAATGAACTTTTAGCAAATGTACTTTTCGCAACTATTTCATTTGGTCAAATTATCATTTGGTCAAATTTTACTTGGCAAATGTTTATATAGCAAATGTTTTATTTTGCCAAATATTATATCCCAAATAATTTATTTGGTCAAATTGAAACTTCACATGCTTACCCACCGTTACCCACAAATCAAAGCACAAGGCAAATGATCATGGTTTTCACAAGAATTTTATGTAAAACAAAGAGATTGCAGAAAATAGTATGGATGCGAAAGTAGGTTTTGCAGAAAATAGTAGGTTAGGTTAGGTTAGAACAGTGACCCTTAACGCGCGAAGGCGAGCGAAGCGTGCAATAAGTTGTTTTGCCAAATAAGAATTTGCCAAATGAAAATTTGCGAAACGTTGTTTGCCATGTGATAATTTGGGAAACGTTTTTTGGCCAAACATTAGTAATCCATACTCCAGGTATGTTTTAGGAATGATACCTTATTACCCCCAACTCAACATACTAAAAAATTACATGTTACCTGATCCTGACGTGGAGGTCACCATGTGGTAAGAACATGGTGGAGATTCTGTATTTTGAGGGTCGGCCTCGAACCCTAAGAAAAGAGCTGAGAAAAGCCAGAAAGGTCACTTCGAGGTGCTAAGCAGGTACCTTTTGCTGTGGTGAGAAACGGGACAGCAACTTTTGGAATATTTACCTTTGGATTTGAACCCAGGAGATGCCACTAAGTAGGTTGTTTATCCCGTAAATCGACCTAGATCGTCAGATAAATTTGATTGAATCGACCTGGGAGATAATATTTTGCGCTGTCAGAGCTATTTTTACCCGACTGAACCGAAAGGAGGTGATGTTTTNNNTTTATTAAGAAACTCGTACCAGAAAGAGTTATCGTTCGATTGTGGTGATGCTAACAACGTATTTTGATTGGTAATGTTTGCGATTGGGGCTGACGGGGCCGCCGTTAAAATTGGATAAGATGGTTGTGGGTACGTTATTCAATCTATTAATACAATATAGAGATTCGCGAGAATGCTCATTTGATCGAAAAGAGTGTTAAAGCTATCAGAATCCCACGTACCTCGTTTCATCCGTTTTGAATCTCGCCGGGGTCCGAGTTTCTCCGGTATCCGACGCTCTGGGTCCACCTGCTCGTCGTCCGGAAGACACTCGTCCCCTTTGGCGCCAACCACCATCACGTACATGTCGTTCGCGGTCACACACGCGCGGTCAATTGCACTTTTTAATTTTAAACTTAGTATTAGAACGTTGAGAAATAAATTATTTCAGTAAAAATCTGATCAGAGTTTCTGCTTACGATGTTGCTAGTTTGGAAGTTAAAGACGCTATGAAGAACTCCGAGCAAGCTCGCCCCCAGGTGACTAAAATGGCGGCAAACGGAAGTAAGTCAAATGAATTCCTATTAAATAATTGCGGAAATGACGTCATTTAAGGTATAAAATGCTAAAAAACTACACCGGAAGTAGACGCATCTCTCACCAGATGCTGTGCATCGTCACATGCCGAATAATATAGTCAATTTTTTTACAGCATGAAAATATTTTAAAGCGTTACTTACCTGAACAATGTTTGTCCGTACATTAAGTATAAGTGGAGGTGTGATTTGTATGTAGGTGATCAAAGGACACTAAAATAATAATTTAACTGGGGTCCACTTTGCTCACCCAGGGCATCGTATCCGTGGGTGATCAAAGGACACTAAATTGTCGCTGAAAGTGGACTTTGATCACCTGGGTCATCAAAGCCAGGTGATCAAAGTGGAATAGACCTGCACTTACCGCCGACAGCGACGTGTCTGGACTTGGGATCGATGGCCACGCAGGTAGGCTCGTACGAGAGAGGCAGCGTCGACTGCTTGCTGCCTCCGATCACTACAGCCAACTGTAAAGAAGTTATAGCTTGAGGCCCACTATTACGAACTATTTAATGTAGGTATTATCAGGCCTGTTCATATCCGCGAGTTTACACCGAAAACAAAACAATCACGATGACACCCTACAGGATTACTATTCGACAAGGCCTCACATACGAGCGAGCATTGACTCACGCACGCGTATTCTTGTGTACGATGGAAAAGAATAAAGAAAATGGTGTACTAAATACTGTGCAGTATTTAACTGTTTTTACTTTTTTAATTAGCCTGAAGACACTGAGAGGTAAATAAGTGGTTAATATTATTCATGCTTAATCATGTATTTCCTCCGCCATTTTCTGCAGTTTGGCACCTCACGTCACATCATTTTACCGAAGTCAGCCGTATGGCTTCGGCGCAGTACCGATCACTTGACGTTTGTCAACAAAATAGTGCTTGACTCTTGAGTCAAGCTAAATTACACCATATTGTGAATGACATTGAGCATATACATTTTTTTAAATACCTTCGCGAAGTAAACCTTCTGTACGTTCTGTAGTATAGCCTGACCAGGAACATAAAAACCCTGGCATAGAGGCGCATCAATTGCATTTGATAGTGCAACACTGAGTACAGTCGTACCTGTGTTAAATTAATAGGCTAACTTTATGTATCAGGATTCAGGATTACGGGCTAATTTAATATTTTCATAAATTAACGAAAACATATTATTATAGGTAATCTGGTTTAAATAAATTAAATGAAACCATCAATCGAGATAGTAGGATTTATTTTATTATTCATCAATAATCAAATTCAGAACTTGAATATTCAACTGCAATGTCTGCTCATGAAGGCTTCAAACTCGGTACTTCTTTCCCAATTCCATAAAATTCAACACTTAGAAAGTGACAAAAAACTTTAAAATAGGTAGTTGAAACAAACCACAGCTAATTTTCATAGTGGACTGTACTATACGATAAACATGTCAGTCAATTTGACAACCTTTGTTGGAAACATTATTCAATGAAAATATTGTCCGAACCCTTGGTATTTCTCTTCGACAAATACTTTTACACATTGTGAACCACTTTTCTTTCACGACTATAAAAAGATTTTAGCAATTTCATTCACAAAATCAATTGCGCATATTTAAAATAAAGTTTGTTTACACTTTGACAGCAATAGACTGACATGCAAGGTGACATGTCAATGAAGTTTTTAGTCATTGTTGACATTAAAAGAAATTAGTACCATCAGATTTCCGCAACATGGCGAGGGTTTTTATGTTCCTGGTCAGGCTATACTTATTATTATTCTGTGGTATTATTTATATTCCATAAAGGGCCTGCGACTTTTTGCTGCGAAAAAAACGCAATACAGTATCGATGGACGCGTAGCTGCTTTAAGTTACGATTTAAACGCGTTACAACAACGAGATAAATGCGATACAGTATCAATATGGGTTTGTATCGACACAAACTTATTTTCCCTCGCGTTTTCGATTCGGATCTTGATATAAACTTGACTGCCACGTGCATCGCTACTCAAGCGCGGCTGTTTCGTCGGATTTATTGTCATTGAATAGTTTTTATTTTTATGTAAGAGTCCGCAGAAGATGAAGTGGAGTTTCCAAAGTTTAAAACAAGCGAAGTTACGTCAAAAGCTATTGTAGCATACCTCCTTGACAGTAGCGACGATGGTGGTGTCATCCTCTGGGATATGATCCATGGCACGCGGCTGCGAGCCTAAAGCAATCGCCACGTCGGTGTATGTTGGCACGTCCCCTGTGACAAATAATTAAGAAATAACATTATTATTAACATAATAATATTTACATATAACACTTACAGCCAATAACAGATTATATTGTATACTCATAAGTGCAACTTGTGGTCTAAACTGAATAAATATTTTTGATTTTGATTTTACTTTTATCGTCAAAGGACTATCTTTTGGTTTCTACTGTAGCATTACCATAGAATAAAAGGAAGATTTGACCTACACTCACTGGCCAGCTGGGTTGGGGAGGCCTGATGGTCTTATATTTCTCTTTTGGTCGCCTTTTATTTTACGACACCCACAAGAAGAGTGGGTGTCATGCGATGCTTGAAAAGGTAGGTATTTGACGTTATGAACTGTCAAATGATTACGATTGCTTTACACAATTCCACCTGGAAATCAATTCATCGGGAAATGATATCAGGCAGCGAATTCCAGTCATCCAATCATTCCATAAATTGTACCTTCAGCAGTAGGTACAGCCTTGCGCAGCGAGTCGTCGCGACTTTTAGTCTATCTAGCACCTGGTCTGCCAAGTAAGCACAACTGACTCCAAAATCTCTCGGGTTAAACCTGAGAAAGCTACATAATCTGGAATGAGGGCTATCGTTTTTATACTTAACAGTTGGCACCCCTGGCGAGTGACAGGACCTTACTCTACAGTGGCGCCATCTTGATGAGTGCAAATGCGATAGTCCTCCTACCACTACTGCTCACCAGTTGGCGCCACTGTCTTCGCTACTAGCAAGAGACAGGACCTTACTCTACAGTGGCGCTAACTGGTGAGCGCTAAAACGATACCCCTATGTGCCTACCATGAGTTTACGTTAGGTGTGCTCGCTAGCGACTGCGTAAAAAAATGACATTTAAATGTATGACATATTGTGCAGCGCCCCTAGCGGCTACTTTCAAGAAATAAAATCTTCATAGAATTTTTTGACGTATTCGCTAGCGAGCTCACCAAACGTAAACTCATGGTAGGCACACTAATTGCAATATGATCGATCTACTTTCAGCGTTGCGCAGCGAGTCGTCGAAACTATTGGTCTCTCTCGCACCTGGACTCCTGGAGTGCCAAGTAAGAACTACCGGGGAAGTATTACTTCAGGGGAAGTATTATCTGGCAAGAGGATATGATCGACTACCTTCAGCGGCAGGCACGGCCTTCCGCAGCGAGTCGTCGATGCCGCAAGTCAGGAGCGAGCCACCCTTGCTGGCTCGCATGCCGTTCACCTGGTTGCCGTGGCCTTGTCCGAGGAAGTGACGCCCTTCACCTGGAATAAGAACAATTATATTATACATAATCCGAGTGAAATATACTTACGAGCAAAAGTATAGAATCATCCCCTTGTGTTTTGTACCGAGCGAACTTAAGAACTGAATGACTATGTGTGTATCTGTGGTATCAATTTAAAGTTTATAATATTACCTTTAAAATGGTGCCATTTTTATTTGCCTTCTATTAGTCATTTAGTTTTTGTGATCGCTCGAAACAAATAGGGTGATTCCATATTTTTACTCGCGAGTGTATAACTTTCTGATTACACCTCAGTCACGTTTGTCCGCTTCAAATTAGCTGTTTTTGTCCATTACTATAGTCTGGTCCGTGAGCACGTAGAATTTTGTAAGATGACCCCAAGCTATCCATCCTTATCGCTCGCGCGTAATTATGTTGCTGTCGCGCTCGCACACTCACTGCGGGCGCCCGTCGCACAGTCGCGACAGCAATATAATGGGAAGCTTGGGGTCATTGGACAAAATTCTACGTGCTCACGGACCGGGCTTTAGTTATAGCCTGACCAGGAACATAAAAACCCTCGCCATGTTGCGGAAAACTAATGGTACTAATTTCTTTTAATGGCAACAGTAACTGAAAACTTCATTGTCATGTCACCTTGCATGTCAGTCTATTGCTGTCAAAATGTAAACAAACTTTATTTTAAATGTGCGCAATTGATTTTGTGAATTAAATTGCTAAAATCTTTTCATAGTCGTGAAAGAATAGTGGTTCACAATGTGTTAAAGTATTTGTCGAAGAGAAATACTAAGGGTTCGGACAATATTTTCATTGAATAATTTTTACGACAAGGGTGTCAAATTGACTGACATGTTTATCGTATAGTACAGTCCACTATGAAAATTAGCTGTGGTTTGTTTCAACTACCTATTTTAAAGTTTTTTGTCACTTTCTAAGTGTTGAATTTTATGGAATTGGGAAAGAAGTACCGAGTTTGAAGCGTTCATGAGCAGACATTGCAGTTGAATATTCAAGTTCTGAATTTGATTATTGATGAATCCCAACTATAGCCTGACCAGGAACATAAAAACCCTGTGTCTGTCTGTCTGTCTGTCTGTTACGCTTTCCCGCTTAAACCTCGCAACCGATTTTGATGAAATTTGGCATAGAGATAGTTTGAGTCCCGGGAAAGAACATAGGATAGTTTTTATCCCGGTTTTTGAAACAGGGACGCGCGCGATAAAGTTTTTCTGTGACAGACAAAATTCCACGCGGGCGAAGCCGCGGGCGGAAAGCTAGTAATAAAATAAATCCTACTAGCTCGATTGATGTTTTCATTTAATTTATTTAAACCAGGTTACCTATAATAATATTTTTTCGTTAATTCATGAAAATATCAAATTAGCCCGTAATCCTGAATCCTGATACATAAAGTTAGCCTCCATGTTGGAGATTGGAGCGTAAGAAGGAAAAGACCACGAAGATTACCACGGATTTATTTTAGAACATACAGCACACAGAGACTACATGAGATCGAGTGTTTGATCCAGAAGTCTGGAAACCTTACATTGACAGCGGAGTGCCAAATTCAAATATTCAAATATGCTTGCGTTTAACCAAAAAGTTTCTAACTTTCCAACAAATTTAACACAGGTACGACTGTACTCAGTGTTGCACTATCAAATGCAATTGACGCGCCTCTATGCCAGGGTTTTTATGTTCCTGGTCAGGCTATACATACTGGTCATCGTTGTCCATTCATCATCATCATTTCAGCCATAGGACGTCCACTGCTGAACATAGGCCTCCCCCAATGATTTCCACGATGGCCGGTTGGTGGCGGCCTGCATCCAGCGCCTTCCCACTATCTTTATGAGGTCGTCGGTGCACCTTGTAGGTAGACGTCCTATGCTGCGTTTTCCGGTACGCGGCCTCCATTCCAGAACCTTGCTGCCCCATCGACCGTCAGTTCTGCCGTTGTCCATTACCAGTTACAAACCAGTCAGATTTGTCCATATCTGATTACATGTCAGTCACTTTTGTTGTGTTGTGTTGCACAAGACACGTGATGGGACACGTGTCCCGCAGCGCGCGGGACTGTCCCGCTACGTACCGGTGGCGACGTCCCAGGAAGAGACGCAGCCGTCGTGGCTGGCGGTGTACACGGTGGCTCTATCAGGATGCAGCGCGAGACACGTGATGGGACACGTGTCCCGCAGCGCGCGGGGACTGTCCCGCTACGTACGTTTGTTTTTTATTTTGTTTTAACGAGCTGACGGTGTGACGGTGTGGGAGAGGCTTAGTGACTGGTGATGAAAAATGTGTGGTTTTTTATTTTAATCTTATTTCTGTTTTTTATATCACTGCATCTACCTATGTACGCTGTATTACTGTGCAGGAGACTGGCACCGGCTGAAAACCAGCGCTGCATGGACCTAGTGCCGTACAGCTTACGCTGAGCCGGATGCCCTTGTCACCTTATTTTTAATTGTTAAGCTGTGTTAAAGTTGCATTTTTTTTTTGTTATGGTGACAATAAAGGTTTATTTATTTATTTATTTACCGGTGGCGACGTCCCAGGAAGAGACGCAGCCGTCGTGGCTGGCGGTGTACACGGTGCCTCTATCAGGATGGAGCGCGAGACACGTGATGGGCTTGTTGTGTCCCATCAGGATGCGGAGAGGCTTGTCCGGGTTGGCCACGTCGAGGTAGTTAATGGCCCCCGATAGGGACACGGAGAGAAGGTGATTGCCTTGCCAGAGGCAGGATACCTGTAAGAAAACAAAACAATTTAAAAACTGTTACCTGACTATGGAAAAAATCGACAGACTCCTATTAAAGTCGGTTAAACATGTTGGACTTGTCAATTTCTATTGACCATTCTGTAATAGCATGTTTCTGAGCAAATAAATGAAGTATTTATTCATTTAAAACGTAGCCCCGGATACACTAGGCCCTAGTGACTAGGGGACAAACGTCCCGTGCAACTCAAGAGTGTATAGCACGTACTACCGGCAACAGTGTTAACTGCCCATTGCCGGTCATATCGTCTCGTTCAATCGCAAAGTATCACCATTTGATGAGAGCGAGAGCTTAAACGGAAATGGATAGTTAACACTGTGGCCGATATTATGGCTGGGTTGCACCATCTTACTTTGACAAACGTCAAAAATCTGTCAAACTCCATACAAAAAGCACCGGTTATCGTTATAGTTACGGTCAAAGTTAGGTGGTGCAACTCAGCCTATTGGCAGCAACGTTCCGTAACTGTCCCTCAGTGTCACGCGCGTTTTCTACGTGACCCAGAACATGTTTCGTGTCGACGCTCTTAGGGCAAAGCATACCCGGGAACATCACGTAACATGTTGCTCCATTTGTCCCCGGAGTGTGTATTACAGACATGAAAGTTACCAGGGCCATAATAACGAATCGATTGACGTCATATTCATCAAAATCAAATGTATCGCTTAGTTCTCAACATATAAATAAATCTTTAGACAATTTCACACAACGCCAGCTAGCCCCAAAGTAAACAACAAAAGTAAGCTTGTGTTATGGGTGCTAGCTTAACGGATATACTACTTACTTATCTTTTTTTAATACATACATATTATACATAGTAACACCCAGACCCGTCACAGAAATTAAAATTCATCATTTCAATTTCTGCCCGGCCGGGAATCGAAGCCGGGACCTCTCGGCATAGTAGTCCGCTCTAAACCACTACTCCAAACGGCCGACTGGGAAAGCATCCTTACTTACTGGCCAGCAGTAGCTACACACAATTTTCACCCTTAAGACCTCCACATTAGCGTCCAATCTCACCTGCTGATTCTCAACAGCAGTTCCCATGTTGAACAGGGTGACCCGCTGCATGGTTTCCACGTCCCATATCGCGCAGGTCTTGTCTCCAGAGCAAGAGACGTCATATTCATCAAAATCTAATGTAATGCTTAGTCCGTAACATACAGGATGGAATTTCGGAAATCTTAAAATGCAATTCTCTTTCTTTTCAGAAATAAAGGAAAATATTATATCTACAGTATTAAGAGTCCTTTCCTTTGGCATTACAAAATTCCACCCTGTATAAACCATCCTTAGCTACTGGCCAGCAGTAGCTACACACAAATTTCACCCTTAAGACCTCAACGTTACATTCCCTCTATTATGGTCGAGTGAAGCGATGGCTGGTTCACTCGTCATGTCTGTGAACAGGCGCTGCTTTCGGGGACTGGTCAATCCAAGTTATTCCAATTTATGTATGCGAGTCATTTCTACTAGTACCTTAATATGTAAGTCTAGATATTAGCACGTCACTACCTTGTTTAATATACCACGCAATCTTGTATACGCATTCTTATGATACACCATACAAGAATGCATGGTAAATTCAGTGAACTGCTCCTGAATCGAATGTACCTATTACTACTATTTCTATTTATTTATATTAGCCGGCAGACAGTGGTGACTGAGTTTGTTGCGGCGCTTCTTCTCAGCACTTGCCAAATGTTGGTCTCGAAGCGCTGGTAGGATAAAAAGATTATGAGACATGTAGAGGCTCCTTAAGAGCATATGACGATTTGTAAGAACTATTTATTAGTCTAAACAAATAAAGAAATTTTGACTTTGACTTTGACTTCAAAATTTAAGTCCAATCTCACCTGCTGATTCTCAACAGCAGTTCCCATGTTGAACAGGGTGACCCGCTGCATGGATTCCACGTCCCATATCGCGCAGGTCTTGTCTCCGGAGCAAGAGAGCAGCTGTGTGCCGTCTGGTGACCAGGCGATACCGTATACACCACCCTTGTGGGCTGGGGAGCCGATCTGGAAACAAAATTACCAATGAAACTATAATCCAAGAATATATCTTCTCCGCGCTTTTTGTCATGAGAGAGAATAGACTAAGAGCTAGTGAACGCCAGACCTACGTCATTTTATAAAAGCTGAAAGTTTGTCAGCATATGCTCCCAATATAGGATATAATGTTGATGAATTATGAAGTTTGGGTCATCACTTCACTTCTAATTATTGTCCAAATATTAAACATAAAAATCAGATTTAATGGTATAACGTTAGTAGAATTACAGTCCATTGAATATACAGAAAAAGCCACCGTAAAAGTTAGACTTACGTTATACTATAAAATCTGATTTGTATGTATAATATTTGGGCAATAAATAGAAGTATTTTCCCCAACAGCGAGACAGTTTTGACAGTTCCAACTCCTTGCAGACAGTTTTTTTAGGGTAGCTCTCAAAGCCACCATGACCCAAACTTCATATTTCACGAACATTATATCCTATATTGGGAGCATACGCTGACACACTTTCAGCTTTTATTAAATGACGTAGGTCTGGCGTTCATCAGCTCTTAGTGTATAAGGTTAAAGATATATTGGACTGTGTAAAATTTTTATTTGCAGAAAATTAAAGACTTTATTTGACGCCACTGGCAAGAAAGGTCGTTGATTGATGGTGGCTACATACTGGCACAGTGCACAATTTGTTTTGTCACGAAGCGACTAAAACTAACTTGATTGAAAACTAATTGAGATTGTAAAACCAGAATGGTGTTCTTTTAGAAAAATTCCCTCCTCAACCTTATCTGTCCCGCAGAGGAAGTGTGGGCCAAATTCTCTAATCACCTCTAGTAATGCGAGGGTCGCACTCCTGTAATGGAGTCTAAATTATCTGATAATGAAATGTCGACCCAAGTCGCATCCCAGTAGGCCTAAGATGCGCGCCGCGATAAGCGGTTATCACACCATTTTATCGATTTTGCCCATACATTTTGACGTCGATAAAAGGTATCACGGCAAGCATCTTAGGCCTACAGGATGAGATTCATGATATCTTATCGTCGATTTTAGGCGACAAAGGCTAATCGTCTAAAATCGATAAAATGCCTGGATAACGACGAGCTGAGGCAGATGGAGGCAAATACTTGTGTGATATCATACCAAAATTGACTGGTGTCAACTGTCCTACGATACTCACTTCTCCCTTCAGCTCGGAAGTGGCGCCATCGAAAAGGAATATCTTGCCGTCGAAGCCGCCCGACGCGAACAGATTGCCATTGGGACTGTACCGCACCGCTTGGGCGAAACGGGTGTGCTCCTGAAAAATACATGTATTGAAATAAGTGAGATTTTTTTGAGATATACACTGACACACGCACACACACAGACATACACGACCCCCTGGGGGGTCGCGAAGCCTCTATAGGGGGGTCGCGAGAGGTCGTAAAAACTACCACAGTAAAAAAGCCAGAGAAGTTTAAAAGCTAGATTTATCCGAAATCTAATTATGCAAATGCATAAATGTTGTATAAATTGAAGAATTCGGCCCCTACAACATCTTTGTAAAAGGCATGAAAAGAAAGCGAATGGTCGGGGGGTCGCAAATTTTTTTTTTATGCTAGGGTGGTCGCGTCATGAAAAAGGTTGAAAAACACTGCACTAGACAATTATTACTGACTGTTTAATATTTTCTTTGCTTTAGAGCGCTTTCACATTAGGGCGTTTAGTAGCGCGACAGCAGCGCGGCAGCGGCGTTTTTATAATGTGAAGGCATGCATCCGTTGTCACATAGTATGAAATTTTCGAGCGTCGCGCTGCTAAATCGCCTAAATGTGAAAGCGCTCTTAAAAAATGTTGTCAGTAAAATATGATCCATCAAAACTTAGGCTGGGTTGCACCATCTTACTTTAACTTTGACAAACGTCAAAAATCTGTCAAACTCCATACAAAAAGCACCGGTTATTGTTATCGTTACAGTTAAAATAAGGTGGTGAAAGAAAGAAAGAATGAAAATAACTTTATTTGTGGTGCAACTCAGCCTTAAAATGTGAAATGAGAGCCAAGTTCAATATTATGATATATGCCTTTTTTGTTGACTTCAACAACAAAAGAAGTTTAGATCTCAAATGGGTGCCAAGTTCAATGGTCAGTCCAAAAATTTATTTTTAACATATCATTTCTTCTTATGGCTTACGGTAATATTATATTGTAGCCTAAGGTCTGACATGGCTAGATCTCATCTCATATTGTTATGATAAGTTTACTACTTGACGGAACAATGCAAAAAACGGTTTTTTTTTAGTTTTTTTAAATGAAGGATCGTTGGGGACTTTTCACATTTCATTTAGGATGGTGTACTGAACATTCAAACAATTATTATAACCTGGACTGTCTTACTTTGTCGGGCTAAAACATACAAATAGCAACTGGTGTTGCTAAGATCTGTAATGCGCCTCTTTAGTAAGTTGTCATACCTGTTTAGTGCACTTGAACTTGAACGGCGGTCCCTCAAACACGGCCAGGGTGTTGTCTTCCGATGCGGTGACGATGCGGAACGGCCGCGTCGGCTTGAAGTCCACGGAATTGATCGGCTTGGACTGACCACTGATCTCGCCGACCGAGGTACCGGTCTCGGACATAAATACGTGGCCGAATCTGGAGGCAAATTATCAAATATTAGTGTAATGTGACGTAGAATTGCACCCGCAGAATTGCTAAGATCAAGTGGCAGTGGGCAGGGCACATAACTCGCAGATTTGATGGCCGATGGGGCAGAAAAGTGGAAAAGTTCTCAAGTCTAAACCGCCTCTGTGGTCTAGTGGTTAGACCACCTGCTTCAGACGCAGAGGTCCCGGGTTCGATTCCCAGTGGGGGCAGATTTTTCTGTTCGGTTTGGTTGGTGGTAGGGCTTGTTCTAAGTCCGCCTGGCTAGCTACCACCATCTTACCTAAGTCTGTCGCCATAACAACAATGTTAACAGCATTGTTGTGTTCCGGCAGTTAGAGGTAAGATAGCCAGTTCCTCTGTGGTTGAGGATTCCGGGTGCAGCTCGCTTCCACCTTCGGCCTGATCGTCACTTACCATCAGGGGAGATACAGGCCAAAAGCTTCCTCGGTGTGGAAAAAAAAAAAAAAAAAAAAAAAAAAGTGGCGACCACGAGCCGGAAGATGTAGTGTGGGCAGGCCCCTCACAAGGTGGACCGACGATCTGGTGAAGGTGGAGGTGCCTGGATGTAGGCGGAGTAGTACCGGTCGTTGTGGAAATACTTGAGGAAGGCCTTTGTCCAGCTTTGGACGTCATTTGGCTGAAACGAAGGAATGTGACGTACAAATTGAAAAAGTACCCTCAATTGATTTTGAACATTAAGATAAAGAGTCAAAGTCTATACAGGGTGTTAGGTAAATGGGTATATGAGCCGACACTAGCCCATGTTAACATGGGCATATAAATGGTATGGTGAAGTCAGAAATTTGATATTGTCATTTTAATTTTCATACAAGATATTTTTTATAAAATCCGATTTGTATGAAAATTAAAATAATTAAAATTAAGATATCAATTTTCTGAGTTCACCATACCATTTATATGACCATGTTAACATGGGCTAGTGTCGGCTCATATACCCATTTACCTAACACCCTGTATTTAATTGAGTTTCGCTAAAGTCCACCGAGTTGATCGGTTTGGACTGGCCGCTGATCACGCCGACCGAGGTACCGGTCTTGGACATAAATACGTGGCCGAATCTGAAGGCAATGACACGGCACAATTAACTTGGACCTTATGCTAACGAGTTAAAGTTACAAATTGATGAGGGCATAACCGTATTTTGATTTTCTCTTTATTTGGGACACAATTACATTGCGGGCTTATGTACTAAGTTGAAATATAAGTACATAAAAGATTAATATTTGCGCCTATTAGCACAGAATAAGTAATAGTACAGGTACAGAAGGATTACTCCGCAAGACGATTTAAATAAATGCGAGTCTTGCTACGACGCGATACAGTGGAATTCAGCTCGCACAGCACTACGTACCTACAATTTTATTCACCTACAAGTTTTGTCTCTTTCTATCGCGTGCCTCTGAACTCTTCTTACGCTGTTAGGGTTGCTGTCTAGTAGTGTCTAGTAAAAAAATAATTAATCTACTTTTTTGTAATGAGGTACGTATGTAGGTAAGTACGCATTCATTATGGAAAACCTTGGGAGAGGTCTTTGTCCAGCAGTGGACGTCATTAATTGGCTGAAACGAACGAACGCATTCTGAGCAGTAGTCATGGTTCCTATACTATCCTAAGAATTATTGATTACCTACATGGCCAACATACCTTTCAGCATCTTTTTGTAAGCGAAAAAAAAGATAAATCCGGTAGATTTCTTTTCGAATTTAAACACCCGAACGCCACACAATAATATTTCTTTCTCTTTATGTCCATTTTTAAATAATCCTTCGATCATAGAATTAGGTACTACAACGCACGCCATCGCGCCAGCATCCTGACGGGCGCGCGCGTGACACTCGACTGATATAATACCCGCCGGCGGGGCGCTTCGCTGTAGGTAATTATCGGATGTACCGCGTGGAGTGAGCCAGGCCTGCTATTAGTTGGCACTATAGGCGAGTAACAGGATTTAACAGTCTGCCACTGTCTTAAACTGCGAGCGCAAATACTGTAAGCCCTTATTGAGGTTATAAACGTACAATTTTAATTTCTATATTGTTTCACGGATCATAACTATAGATCGTTTCATCCACGAAGACGCCCTCCACCAATTTTAGGTCGAGGGAAGCGCGGGATGCGGGGAGTTTGATCCGAGCAATCCGAGCGTAATTACTGTAGTGTGCGTGTGCACTCATGGATATTTTAGCGTTTACCGATAACACTCAACCATTCGCGGAAGTATGGTGGGGCGCGTCTTCGTGGATGAATTGATCTATACCTGCCAAAGCAAAGCGATTTCGAAATACAACTGTTACTTTACTAGGCCCCACAGGGTTTAGAGAAATGTTGTTTTTTTAACTGACCTCTCCCGTCCCTCGCCGACCACAACCATCCTCTGGCTGTCGGCGCTCCAGGCGATGTCCTTGATAGGCCCTCCGATCGGCTGAAACTCATTCTTGAGGATATGCTCCTTGTTCACAGTGTCCCAGATGCGAACTTTGCCTGACGCGTCTGAAAGGAAAATTAGGGTGAATTAAATCGAAATTGAAGGTCAAGATGGTTATCAAATGTAGTGGATTGGTACGCAGGGGGGGCGCAAAGACCTTTAAAGGGGGGGCCTTCTGCGTATGCATTCCAGACTGCTCGATACGATCAATAAATAAACTTGACTGGAGGAGGAATTTTTGTATGGTCGAAAGGGGTGCATCTCAAATAAGTTTAGGAACCAATGGTGTAGTGGATGTCGTCAGAAGGAGGCGATTATGGGAGAAATGTGCGAACATAGGTCCTCTCCAACCCGTCTGGACAGTGTGGGTAATGTAGGCGAAATCTTTCATTTCCCTATGGCGAANTTTTCCATTGAATTATTATGAAAAAAATGTATCCTTAGGTTAGATCTAAATATATTCAATCACTTTTTACAAGAAATAAGTCCGTGATAACAAAAACTGTAAAATGATATAGCCTCAAAGTCTAAAAAATTCTTAAAATGGCCAAAACCGGGTCACCTGCCCTAGAGAGGGTCTTCATCTTGCAGTGCATTAAACAGTTTTCTAATGTAGTAGGTAATTAATGTATACTTATTAGTATCAAGTTTGAGTTTTAGGCTAAGAACTCAAAGAGTGGCTTTTTAAATTGCAATTTTCTCGGTTTTATACTATTTACGCTGCACTACTGGCGCAACCGCAAGCGTTCCTATCCAAATCTACGCTCAAACTGGTTCCTAAATATTTTGATTACGGGCTGGAACAGATTTTTAATTTGAATCGAGTTTTCAGCAAAACAGCCTTACTGTTCAACCAGTTTATTACCATAAATTCAAGGGCGCCCTACACAGGTTTTAGCATAAACCGCCACTTTTTAAGACCTGTGACGATTTGGACGAGTCGTTACCCGCATCAAGGGATTGCTTTAGCGGCCATTATCTACTTGGGATTTGGCCAAGAAATTTATCCACCAAATGATATACTCAAGTTTTCCTGTTTATAATGATGATACCATTAACCGATAATTTCAAGTTCCGTTGTAGCAAACGAAATAGCCGATGGGATTGTAATGATACTTAAATATTTCAAACTAGATTAACTGTAGTGAAGTTTAGAGATCTAAAATCTAGCATACACCTTTTCATTTAAATCTTAAAGGGCCTGAGACCCTGCAGACTGTTTGTTGGCTTCGAATTGGTATGACAAACCAAATCGTTGTATGTAATCTGCGTATGTTCATATTTGCTCATACTGTTTAACAGCCCGACCAAACTTTAGGCTGATAAAAGTCTATAATCTTAGAGACGACATATTACAAATTACACTGGTTCTACACTATACAACACATACGACAAGGCAGTAGAAACAAGCAAAACTTTTGATGTCAGTTAGCACGATCAGTTTCATAGTTATCCAAACATAAGTTACGTTAAATCTGGAGATGTTCGCACGCCTGGCGGCTCGCCAATGTTTCCTATTACACAATACTAATAAAACGTTGCTGGGCTGGATATAGGCCACTTAAATATTACATTTTATTTGACACTAGCTGCGCCCGCGACTTAGTTCAAAACGCGCTAATCTCAGGATAGCTCATTTATCGAGGATCGCTATACAGTGTGTCTTGATAAAGTACACAACATTTTGGCATTCTTTCCGTCGATAAAAATGGGTCTAGTTTCGCCCATTTCCATATGTGCACAATAGGGGCGGAGCAGTAAAGCAAAATGTTGCAAAAACGGAAAATATTATTCAAACTATTTTCGCGCGTACGAAGTCGCGAGCAGGGCTAGTGGAAGATAAAAAGACGCTTGGCTTGTAAACTAATAATAAACCTCAATTCAAGAAGACAATTTAAAAACAAAATACTTTTGCCTGAATAAATTAAACAAAAAAATTGCGTTTGATAAGTCGGAAAGAAAAATTCTGCCGCCAGATATATAGGAAAAAAATATTAAGACCATAAAACGCGCTGTGCTATTTTTAACTTAACAAGCTTGGCGTATGAGGTAAACTGCATAAAAATATCGTGTTCAAAACACATAAAGATAGTCCTCCTTTTCATATGCCATAAAATAAAAACGCACAGAAGGACTTCAATACGCAAGATACTTTACAAAAAACGGTTGCTACTGATGCCAAGGACGCATGCGGGGTTTTGGAATGCTGATTTAATTAAGTATGTAATAGAATAGCCAAGTAGTCCAAAAAAAGCCTAAAAATCCCCTAAACGGGAGATCTAAGGGCACTTTTGAAGTTTAAAGTCAATCGCCGCGGTCGGCTATCCCAACTATCAAGAAAACTGCGTAACATCAAGGATTCTGGCTATGTAGTGACGGCCAGAGAGCTTGCAGACAAGTGACAGTTTGTCAGAGGATTACCTCTGTAACTAAAGGACACGCCCTACCGAGAAAGTTTAGATGACAGCACAGCACAGCACAGAATAAGTGCTTTTACAACCAACGTTTTTAGTGCTGATGATGATGTGCTTTCGACTGTACTAGCGACAATCAGTACCTCTAGCATGAACAACTTTTGTCTTCGAATCGTTTGCGTACCCGATAAAATTCGATACTCAATCTTCGAATTAAACGATAACGTGACAATTTTGATTCTCAAAATAAGTTTCGTGCAACCACATCTCATACTAAGTTTACTTTACGACACGTTCACAAGGGCGCTGTTGTAGTTTTGTTACTAAATCTTTTGATGGAGATTCGAGTACGCAAACGATTTGAACTCGAAAGATTTTCGTGCTAGCCGTACAGATAGATACGTCGTTAGGCCTGGTTCGGACAGTGATAATCGCGAAGTTGCTAAGCAGTTTTCGTACATTTGCATCAAACAGTAACCGCCTCAGTGCCTCGACAATGAGAACCAACCAAAAACCGCGATTATTGCGGGCATGGATCTAAAAAAAACCTTTTTTATAGGTGTCTGAACAAAGCGGTAATCGCAGATAAGATACATTAGATTTCTTCAATCTAACGTTGAATTTTCTGTATCTATTTACATTGTGCTAATAATACACAAATCCATTCATGGATGCATGCTTATTAGGCACAATGAACTTAACGCTCTGACGGTCCACTAGCATTTATAGGATCCCTGCCTCATGAAATAATGTTAATGAGTACATTACCATATTATTTGCATTTTGCGAATGTATTTAAATAGCATGAATCCTGCTGGACGCATGACGCCTTGCGGCGAGCTATTTTTGGAATACATTGAATGGGCGGCACGTCAAGCTTGACAATTGCACTGCAATAATCGCCCTTATTTCGCGGCAGATTAGGGTGAGGGCTGGCTCAAGGTCAATATGTTGTGAGTAATACGCCATTGTGTGCCTATATTATTGTTATTTTATAATAAAATCCTCATTGACAGCTGCGTGACCTGAAGGTTCGCGAATCGAACCACAAAGCTGCTGTTGCAAGTTCGATTACCTCCTAAAGGCAAGTAAAGTGTGCAACGCTCATGTTAATACCTATTTAAGCACATTTATTCATTATCTAAATGACAAAATATAAGTTTTACCTACTTTAGAAAACTCAGGTATGATAAAAAAATTCTTCACCACTTTGAAAGAGGAAATAAATATCACAGTATCACAAAAGATTATACTGAAGTTGGTATAAAATTGATTTGACAAGTTAACATACAAACATTGAATTTGGATAATGCTACAAAGACTATATTGGGTTCCATTCAGAACTAACTTTGCTTGCAAAAGGATGTCTAGCTAGCTGCAAATGATACTTTTATAAACATTTTAATTCATTGGTAATAAACCTAAAAGGATGTTTTTAGTCAGATATTTTTATGTGCAAATTCTATGAATCAACATAAATAAAAAAATGACCTTATCAAAGAATAGGAGTGGTTTTGTAATTAATGTAATTAACAAGATAAGATTGGCTGTTTGACAATAGCATTTCATAACAGTTGTTTTAATAAATAAAACCTAAAATAAAATCACAATTCAAACAATTTGATTATTTAGGCCTTTAGCTACCGAGATACTAGAAACAATAGAAATCAATTGCTTGGGACTCACTGAAGACCCCCACTGCACCCCCACAGCATTCAATGTTTAAAATTTTGATGATGCTGCTCACTTTTTGATGAAGCTTTAAAAAGTTGTCTTATGGTCTTATAAGACCAATGAAAGGTCAGAAATTCTCAGTAAATAACAGTGTTAAAATAATCAAAAGTCAAATATTCTCAGCTTTTACATTTTAGTAAACATAGCATGTTATGGAAACTAAATATAAAATGGTCTGTTGTCTCTTAAAATGTTACCTAATTCTACCATAAAATGAGTTATTAGTATTTAACCTTGAATATGTTTATTTATACACATTTGTTATCAAATAAGGTGATTCATTACTACAATCTCACAATATAACAGTGATGTCATTACTTCTGAATGGTCTGCTACAAAATTATTTCATTAATCAGCGCTATCAATTCATTTAAAGATATTATTTACTTGATGAATGTTTTGTTGCAATTAATGTAACAAGATTAATTTGTTATTTTGTCTCTCATTTATTTAACTGATAAATGAATTTATTGAACACTCAGTGGTACAGTCTAAAATAATTTATAAACAGGAAATACCTATGGTAAATTAAATATGGCATAACCTTACCTCCAGATGCAATGTAGAATCCGCTGGGCGAGTATTTAGCGACGTTTACTTGGCAGGAATGCTCCGTGTACACATCCGATATAGCCGGGTTCTCGATATCGCGAATTATCACCGAATTCCCATTGGTATACAGGAAAGTCTTGCCTTTTGGGTCACCACCAAGAACCAACGGCGTACCGCGCGCAGTCCTCGGCAGAGCCGCAAAAGTATATTCTGTGGGCACACGGACACCGTTTCACATCAATAAACACAATTATTTCAAAACATAAACCAAATAATCGACAGATAACCAGCGAACCAGAATACGACCAAGCATGTGATAAATATAACACGACAGTCACTTACTGTTCGAATAAGACATTTCCTTCTTACACTTTACTAACTATAAACTAAGCTGACTAATCTAGGACTACAGTTTAATCAGTACTTTCCAATTTATTTAGAAAAACACAGTCAGCCGCTAACACTTCATAGCCTCCCAAAAAAGTGACGTATGAAGATTTGTTATTTTCTTTATGTTGGTGGTAATTTACTAGAAATGTCCATATATGGGCACCCGCTATCTTACTTTTTCTTTGAATTATTTTTATTGAAACATTTATTTTCTTACAAACATGTTTCAGTTATTTCAAAATTTTCTAGACAATGAATTTTCAGGAATTATATTTTTTATAATGATTAGTAATTATTACAAGCTAAAACAATAAATTAATCGATACCAATTCAATTATAAATTGAATGTTACCGGTTTTTCATAAGTCATGACATCACTATTGAGTACTGTTTAAAAAAATGCAACTGACCAATTCGAATTTAGCAAATGACTGTTCATAATATTTTTGACCAATCGTAGACGAGTATTTAATTATCAGTGTTGTGTCAACGTGAACTCGAGTTATGATTGGTTACATAAAAGAAGAAGTAGTTTCATTGGTTGAAGCTGAACCAATAATATTATTCTGGTGACTTCTCTTGGTCAAAGAATTATTAAATCAGTGTTGTTCTTGATACGGCAATTGCCGTAATATACGGCATTTAGGCATCTTAGGCACCATAAATACGGTATACGGCAGCTCTTCCATTACCGTATCAAAATATACGGCAATTGATTAAGGTTGAGTTTTATGAGCTTTTCATGAGTTTTAGTAATCAAAAAAATATTTTATTTTATGGAACACACCAACTTGTGAACCATATAAAAGAAACGTCAACAGAATTCAACCAAATGCAACCTTATCTCCGAGATGTTAATGTCTAAAATCGTTAGTTCCTCATTTTGGTAGATTCTTCACTTTTATTCGGGTAGGTTCTAGGACTAAACTATTCAAAATCTTTAAGTGATGAATAAAATAAGTAAGTTTAAAAGTAGTATACACATAGTACATAATACATCACTTGTATTTTTTTTAATTTAAACCTTCCAACGTAACATTTTGTACAATACGGCAATTTTTCTTAGTTTTCCTTAATAATACGGCAATTTTGGAATTAGAATACGGCAACCCTAAATTTGTCAGGAACAACACTGTATTAAATGGAAATTTATTCACTTGTCAAAATGTCTTGAAAGAAACACGGCGTCATGTGATGAAATGAAAATGCATTAATTCTTGGCGATATTTTTCATGTCTTGTGTTTAATGTAAATGCAAGGAGTGATGATAGCGACAGGAGTAATCATTTGTATTTTTATTTGTGACTTTGTGGGAGGAACAAACGTTTTTATTTGACATTTGTTTCCACGTGGTGTACGTCAGATTTTAGTCGACGTGTTAGGAACTTCACATATTTTAAGTTCTTGACCGCATTTTACGGAGAAATGGAGTCCTTGAATATGTCTAAGTTAAACCTGTCCAGCGTGCGGGGCAACACGTCCAACGAAAACAGTGCACGGGCTGAGCCCTTCGAAGTAAAACTGGATACCACCGTAAGTTTGTTGCATTCAATGGAATCCGCATGTGGTATTTAAAAATATTATTTTATAAACGTAACAGAGATTTATTATAAATTACATTATCATTAATTACCATTACTTGTTCTTATAATGATATTTTTAATAGGATCATTTTTCATATGCCCAAATAAAGAGAGATAAAAATATTGTCTTACATTGTGTGTGAAACAAAGATTGTCATGAAAATAAATTCACATGATGGACAAATAAAATAAATAATTAAGTCTTATTCTACGGTAGATTTCATTTATAATTCTTTTTTTAGAGGTATCCGTAATGTAATACGATTTAATTTCTTTTTTAGGCGCTAACCGACCCCGATGATGAGTATCATTGTGAATACAGAGACGACATATGGCAGAGCCTGCTTGAACAAGAGTCACAGAAGCCCACAATCCACCTGCAATCACCACAGGTATTTGTTTAGTAATTTAGAAATTTAAGGCGAAAGGTACTAGGGTATTTTCCAAAATACCACATTTATTGTGAATAGTACTATGGTATTTTCAAAAATACCACAATTATTGTGAATGTTACCATGGTATTTTTTAAAATACCATTATTATTGGGAATCGCTTGCAGCAAGTTGTTTAAAAACAACTTTATTTGAAACTAGTCCTGACAAACTATACCTCTTATGTTCCTCTTTATAAAATTAAGAAAGAAAGAAAGATACATTTATTACAATGGACATCACACAAATACAGGTAATAGGCTAGTTGCCTAAAAAAATTTTTTTAGTCCGTAATGTTTAATATCAAAAAATATTGGACACGTATATTTTTATTTGTCAATCTAACAAATAATTACATAGTTATGGTGCGTTGAAGTTGCGCACGACGTCACAACGTGCGGCATTTTTAAGCAAGCGTTGACGTCACGGGCCTCTTATGAACTTTGGGGCGCTTTATCTCTTTAAATTTTCATTAGTTTGAAAAAGTGAAAAATACGTGTAGAGTATTTTTTGATAAGTTAACTGACGGACTAATTAAAACTCTTGCTTTTTGACCCAGGCAACATCCCCATTACATAGACATGACAGTGGCACATAATAATGGCAGAAGAAAATAATATGTGTATGTTTTGTTTAGACAGACTATAAGAATACTACTACTAGGTATTTAAAATGCAATAAGGAAGTCTTTTTAAAAAGAATCGATAAGAAATGTTGATGATAACATTTTTAAGTCATGTGCTACAAATTGATTTAATAACAAATAACTGCATTAGCAGCATTGTTAAGGAATTTTAATGACTTGTGCAATAATGTTTCAAAATATTTCACAATGGAGACTCATATTACTGATGTAACTTTAGATATCATTATGCCAATGAGCAATAGTATGTATTTTGTTGTTCGATATATTATTGGTTACAAAGACTTGTAAACAATAATAAATTGTAATTGAAAGTAATTTATAATTTGTTTATTCAATGTAAGCTAAAAAAAATATTTCTATTATCAAGGAAGAGTGATAAAATAAATAAGAACTAGATTTTTTGCATATAAATAAATCATATTTTTTTTGACAGTAATCAAATTCAATTTAAGGAAAAAATATGATATAAATAATCAAGAAATAGGATAGAATTTAACAATAGATAGTACCCAGACCCACACATACAGGGTGGATGATGAAATGTCATGTAATATGAAAATGCATTGCATCATTATGTTGCAATAGATTAGCTCTTTTTGTTGTCCCTTTCACTACACTTAATGCCTTAAGGTTGTAGTGGTATATATTTTTAAGACTAGACTTGGGTTCAATTCCCAGGTAGTACACATTGTTTGGTTTTTGAATTTGGTTATGTTTTTTTTTTAATTTTAGGCTTAAATCTGGTTATCTAAGATACTAATATTTATCTAAATCTTTATTGCAAACTATGTGACTATTTGTTAATTTTAAAGGTCGGGCCGCTCTTTAGTGGTGCTGCGCGTTCTTGCACAAAACGTCAGAATATTCTTGAATAGAATAAAATGAAAATTTAATTTATTTTCAATCCAGTATTTAGGACATAAGAACGATAAAATAACAATAAAAGGGTAGACCTTAAGGGACTCTACTCAGGTCTCTTTTGTTACCACAAATCACTTAATGTTCCAACCTCTTTGTCCCCAGTTGGAATTCCGCGGCACATTAGTGCAGCAGCTGCGTGACGTCACCAAGAAGCTGGGCCTTAGCATCGCGACGCTCCACTCAGCTGTCGCTCAGCTCGACCTGTTCATGGACGCCCACCGGCTCAGAGCGGACCGGCTGACTCATGTAGCGCTGGCCTGCCTTAGTCTTGCTGGTGAGTGCTTTTTGAGACCATTTTTCAAAAGGTTTCTAGTATTTTGAGGAATACAATTTACTGATATCCTTGTTATTATAAGTATTCTACACTCTAATACCTGTGTAAGAAAGGAAATAAAAACTCAATTAAAACATTTCAAACTATTAGATTGAAAAGATAAATCTTAAACCCCTCCAACTAGCTTTCCTTGAATTGGCAGTTCGATGCTGACTGGGCTCTTGTTTAGTTCTTTGAAATTACTGATAAGTTTTGAATAAAGTAAGTTGCTAAAAAAATTCCTTGGACTGATGCCCGTTTTCACCATCAATCCCTAATTTTAAGTGACCGCTATGGTAACACATAACAGGAATTTTGTTTTCAAAGGGGTCACTTAAAAATTAGGGATTGATGGTGAAAACGGGCATTAGCCTTTCAATTGTTGTAAGTTCAGATGAACAAATTACCAATATCTTTGTTAACCAGTCCGATGCTCACACTTAAATCAAGCTTTTGACTGCGTATAAAATCACCCAAATGTTAACTCGGTCACCATCCACAGCGAAAAGCGAAGAGAAGATCGGTCGCGCGCCCACACTGAAAACCTTGGCCAAGATCAGCGGCGTCCAGCTTTGCGGCAAGACATTCCGCCAGCTAGAATGGATGGTCGGCCAACACGTGCGTTGGAGGCTCCTGGCACCAACTCCCGTGTCCTTTGCAGCGCTACTGTCTCAGTACGTGGTGACTGATGGCGACCTGACCACCAGACACCCGAAGTTCGTGAGACGGTTCCGCAGAGATGCGGCTCGATTGCTGGAAAGATATCTGGACTTGACGCTGTCTGGTAAGTTTGATTTTGTAGCCACTATGTTTTTTTTGCTGGGTCTTGATTGCTCAGCCATAGAATTCTTCAGCTCAACGCTTAGAATAATTTTGTACTTTTTGTAAAATAAATTATTTACTCTTTACCATATAGGCTAAGGTATCTGTGGCGAAAGGTAGTGGGTTCAAGTCCTACCTAAAGTCGTAGATTCTATCAGTTTTAAAAGTTTTTCACTCAGAAATGCTTTTTTACATGTTTGTAATCTTAAACTAAGCAAAGCTAGTAATTGTTACTAAACAGCGGATAGAAATTGTCCGCTTCGCTTAGTTTCGGAATAGAGGCCAGTGTAAGGCTGGTTTTAGAATCACGCTGACCGTCAACGCTGACAGCCGAAATGTATGAAGCGTCGGCGCCGAGCGATCAGCGTCACTCAAAATCAAAATCAAAAACATTTATTCAGTTTAGACCACAAGTGGCACTTATGAACGTCAATAGAAAATAATAAAAAAGAAAAGAAAAGTAACCCCTTATGGGGCACTTAACATGTCTCCTTATCTTTTGAACTCAGGAACGTTCCCTTAAATTACATACATCTTGATTTGTCAGCGCCGACGGTCAGCGAGCGGTCAGCGCGATTCTAAAACCAGCCTAAAATGTCCAAGGATATTTGTTTATTATTTAGAAGTGATTGAACCGCATCTTTCCTTCCAGACGTGCGCCTCAAAGTGGTGGACTCCGTTGACGTTGGCTGCGCGTGCGTCGCGTGCGCGCGCGCCGACCTTGGCCTTAACGCGTGGCCTGCATGGCTCGCTGAGCGTGCCGGCCGTAAACCCACCAGCGTGGCGCCCCTAGCGCGTCTTCTGCAGCGGTGAGTGACGCCACTGTGTGGTCATGGGAGTCTGAGCTTGACGCCTATGGTGTGCCATATTATTTGGCCCCTCGCGCGTCTTCTGCAGCGGTGAGTGACGCCACTGTGTGGTCATGGGAGTCTGAGCTTGACGCCTATGGTGTGCCATATTATTTGGCCCCTCGCGCGTCTTCTGCAGCGGTGAGTGACGCCACTGTGTGGTCATGGGAGTCTGAGCTTGACGCCTATGGTGTGCCATATTATTTGGCCAGTTTACTGTATTTCTTAATCCTTATATAGCACCTATGCCCATTACGACAAATTGTTACGAGCGCGCCGGACGCAAACCCACCAGCGTGGCGCCCCTAGCGCGTCTTCTGCAGCGGTGAGTGACGCCACCGTGTGGTCATGGGAGTCTGACCTTGACGCTTATGGTGTGCCATATTATTTGGCCAGTTTACTGTATTTCTTACCCCTTACATAGCAGCTATTGCCCATTACGACAAATTGATACGAGCGCGCCGGCCGCAAGCCCGCCAGCGTGGCGCCCCTCGCGCGCCTTCTGCAGCGGTGAGTGACGCCACCGTGTGGTCATGAGAGTCTGAGCTTGACGCCTATGGTGTGCCATATCGTCTTTTGACCAGACTATTGTATATCTTGCCCCTTACATACAAGCAGATTACACCTGTGTCAGTGGTAGCTAGTGCAGCCCGTAATACAGCTGTTTTGGAACTTGCAAAATATTTTTGTACAATGCTCAAACAACAATCGCGACTAACATGCATACAATGATGACAAAAAAGGCCGAAAAGACGGTTGATATCCCGTCACGGTCGATATCCCATCCATGGTTATACTAAAGAAGCGAAATTCTGACACATTCTATCCTTCAACACCCACACATTCCCATTATCACTCAACTAAACATTGTTGCTTGTTGCAGGATGATGCAAATACTGAAATCTCGCGAGAATGGCGGCGATTCCGAAGCCGATCAAGGTTATAGCAGCGCGAGGACATCTCCCAACCTCACTCCGTGCACTTCCCCGAGGTACCACATATCTCCAGCATCCAGTACTTGCAGCAATTCCTCCAGAAGTTACATCAACGTCGACTCTTCCTACCGCCAACACCCAATCACAGAACGAAGACCAGACTCCTCATACTCCGTCTTAGACTTAGACGACACAAACGTCCAGCCAACCGTGAACGTACAAGAATACTACCAACTACCCACAGCCGTTGACATGACACTGCAAAGGGTCGACAACCCATCGGAGTACAGGTATTGTAGATCCCGTAGACTTGTAGAAGCTAGTTTAGAAACTGTCGAACCGTCTACCAGTATGGCAGTGAAACGAGGCCTCGAAAACAACGTAGAATTAGATAGGAAACGGTACAGATTAACCACTCAAATGTCACAAGTGGTTCTATGATTATATCTAGTCCCAGGTCTTCGTTCACGAATGTATCATGGCAACGATATAAACATGTCGTGTGCTGTTCTATTCGTGAATGTAGACGCACGGTTGCGAATACGTGCCGATTATTTACTCCTTTTCATCTTATTTGTCGGTATTTGCGATCGAAACTTAGGATAATTTCACTGTGTATTCCAAATATGCTATTTATACATGTAACGCTGCAGCTAGATGCTTTTTGAAATTATTGCGAAAGAAATTACGTCATCTAGATATCGCATATCTAATACGACATAAGTATACCTAATTTGCATAATAAGTATACTTATCTATATTCTAAAACTTACACAGTACACGAAATCTTAATCAGCTGAAGTGCCCGCGGTACCGAGTTAATCTGTATTGTTTAAAATTGACAGTAAAACGAAAAGCAATTGAGAAGTGTTATGTTGAATGGAATTGATGACTAAAGAATGACTATTGAACGTGGTTGTGATAAAAAGTAATCGAAAAGGACACCTTCTCGATTGTAATTTTGTACTAAACTGTAGGTGTAGTTAGAAACAAATTGTTAGGTTAATGTCATCGTATTTGAATTTCTTAAATTAGAACGGATCAAACATTTATCTTAAATAAACCTTGCACTATTAGATTTTGATTTTAACACAGACGAAATAGAGCAGCCACGATTTTATTTCATAAACCAGAAACGAAATTGTTCAAAAGATACAATAAGATCCTACAAATTATTCTAATACTGTTTAAATATGATGACATTTTCCTGTAATTAGTTAATTAGTCCCGCAAACATCAACAGAACATGTCCACAACAGTATTTATCCAACATTCCTGTTAAATCTGATGTAAAACTAAAAAAAAAACATAAAAATAAGGTCACTTTCAAATATGCGGTTTTGTGTGAGCGTATACGTGCTTATTTCGTGTACACGAATCGTTAACGTTTCGTTCGCGCGTTTTTCTATAAGCCGGGTGCAGACGGGTGTAACGCGTAATGAAATGTATCGTGTAATGTAATGGAAATAGTATGGGCAGCACTTTACATTACACCCGTTTGGCGGCTTTAAGCGCGAAATACCACCAAAATTCGTACAGAAACTGCTTATTCGACCATAAAAAAATTACCATGTCATGTTGATGTTGTGGTTGTCTCGATTGCCTTATGACTGTTTAGTGTAGCCTGTATTAGACACAATTTCTACACAAAAATAATCAAGTGTATGTCAAATTGTAGTATCAGAACGATCTGGATATCGTTCTATATTATTTTTTGTTTAATATCAGTGACTTAAATACTCATAAATAATTAAAGTAAGATAACCAACATATACTTGATTGTATGGACCTAAAAAATAGTTTAATTGCAATGATACTTAATTTGGACATCGCGTTACTTTAACTTTAGTATTTTATGTACTTCTTGTCTGTATAGCGTTGTTTTTGTATATGAGTTATGTATAGCGAATACACACTATTTAAATGAATATATTATTATTCGGTTAGTTGAGTGTTCGATTGCTGTTTTTAAATAACTTGGTATTTGAAATGTTCTCAACATAATTTTAATTTATAACAGCAGTTGAGACACTCGATATTTTAACCAATTTCGGCTGTTTTGGATAAGTTGTGATTGTTTTAATTTATTGTTGCGAGTATTTCGAAGTGAACTGTTGTTTATGAACCTGCATTTAGTTAATGTGCTATCCATTAGTCATGTATTTACTTTTACATGTTCCTTGAAGTTTTGCAGATATTTTTCAAAGTATTTAAACGCCAAGTTAGTATTTAAATATCTGCAAAATGCATAATTTCTGTGTTTTATCTGACATTTTGAGATTACCATGACTATGTGGATAGTGTTGATCGCTTCGAGGTATTTCCCTTTGAGTGATATGGAATAGAATCTTTTTTTATATAGATTTCTATCATCGCTCAGTTTTACTCGAAGTTGTTTTTATTTTTTTAATTTTATACAATTCAAAGATTCCGTTCCATTACCACAACTTTTTTATTTACCCCAAAAATGGGGTCATCATTACCACTCCACATATTATTTTGATGTGACAAAGATTCAATGGTGTAGAGAGCTAGGCAAAATTGACAAATGTAATTTTTTGTGTATAATTATGTAGAAGTGTGTATAGATGGCCTCAAAGACTCACGCGGGTGTAATTTTATGTCGGTTAAGTATTTTCTTATAATTTTTACGGCCTACGTTTTTTTTAATTCTTTTGTTGATTTTAAAAAGATAATAATGCCTACGGTGTATTTTTCAAATCGTCGAGTTACCATTACGTTTCTAGATTTTAAAATGCCGAATTTTCTCCAATATATTGATGATGTTGAAATTTTAAGCGCACGATGGTGTTGCCCTGTTGATGAAAATTTTACCCCTGTTTCTAACGTGATTAGATTTTTAACTTCCCTGGTGAATCAAACCGAAGAAATGTTCCTCATCTTATTTTTAGAAAATCCTAAGTAATTCTTATCTTATACTTTTCCTTCTTTTTCTTACGGTTTTACAAACAACTGCCAGAAACGACTAGTATATTTAAAAAAAACATTCATGTGCTTCCTTCATCATTCTGATTTAAATAAGTTCATTGATCTGTATAATGTGTTTTCCAGTTCAAACAACATAAAAGGAACTCAAAAAATCTGTTTTTTATTCTGAATACCTACATGTGAAAGAGCCAACCAATTTCGGAGGCTAAAATTTTCTTGACATGATCCCAAGCTAAGTTTTATTTGGTGTTAACTGGAAACCATATTAAAAATTCATTAGGTTTACAATCACCTGTGTAATCAGCTATGATGCTTATCAATTGTATAGTGCAAATGTTGCACAACATAAGTAACGGGTATATGTATAACTAAAACTGTTAAATTATTGATTATAATCAAAATAATGTGTTCTTCTGGAATTGTAAGGTATCAAAAAGTATGGAAATTACAAACCTTTGCTTGCATTGTTGGAAATTGTTACAAATATATCAAGTAGTCAAAATGACGCTTATAGCAGTCGTATTTAAAGATTACATAATATACCTAAGTATTTACTGTAAATTAATACCATAATAGAGCCTTACAATTTTAGATTAATATTAACGTTAAAATTCATGGGCCCGTATTACGAATCGACGCTTAAAACACAATTCTCTTCAAATCTTTGATTCTAAGATTTTCTCTCTATTTTAGTTAAAATCTTTGATTGGTTTGAGTTAAATATTTAAACCAATAAGAGCAGAAACTACACTTAAGTTTGAACAGAAATTCGAGCATCGTTCGTAATACAGGCCATGAAGATTCATACAAAAGCAAATCCTATGTACGACTATTAATGTTAAGACTGAAAGTTAGATTGTATGAGCGGCTCAGGGCTGAAAAACGATTATTTTGTACTAAATTAACGCATTGTAAAACTTGAAATAAATATTTAATACATCATTCTATTGTTTTATTTTGTATAATTATTTGTTGGACGGGTATGGGGTTTTAGAGATTGGAACTTGGGATACACCTCATTGTAAATCCCATACTCCTGCATTTGCTAGGTGGCGCTAGTCTCAATGTACCCTGTACCCCCGGATATTAATTTTAAAATTGGGTACAGGGTACGTGCCGCGTAACTGGCAAGAAAACTTGATCGTAATGTTACTGTACCTAGGGAGACAAAGTCAACCTATTCCACGGTTTTGGCACAAGCACGAAGCCGTAAAGCGACCAAAGGGAATAAAAGTATGGTAGCTAGTCAAAAATTTTTGAAATTTAATTTTTTTAAGTAACTAATGCCCGTTTTCACCATCCATCCCTAATTTTTAAGTGACCCTTATGGTAACACATAATAGGAATTATGTTTTCATATGGGTCATAGGGATTTATGGTGAATCATGTCACGTTCATTCCCGAATAGCTCCCAAGTCCCAAAACCTTGTAACTAGAATGTAGATCTAGCACGATAACCTACCGCCCTCAATGGCCCTGCTAAGTAAGTAGTCGGAGGGCTCGCGTGTAAGGGAAGTGACACAGTCAAATAATTTTGCATTGCGGTATAGCATACTTCATGCTGACGAGTATTGATTTTTGCATTGTCTGCATTCCTTCGGGCTGACTAACGCCTACTTAGATACTGCCGAAAGTATGTTGGACGTCATATTTAGTGGATTACTTAAGCTAATTCTGTGTGTGGCGTATAGTTTTCAACTCAACTGATCCACCAGAGAATAGGGTCTACCTCAGATCATAGAAATATGATCTGAGGGGTCTACTACCTAAGTATTCTATTCTATTCTAAATATTCTAGCTAGTGGGTATTAGAAGTTTTGTTCTGAAATCGATTTCTAGGAGGATAGAAGAGGAGTTTCTCTTATTTCCATAAAAGAAAGAAGGCCTATTTAATTTCATGCTGTCTAGTACCATAGTCTACCTCAACTATAATTTTATCAAACTGTTATACGGGGTCAGTTTCTAAGGCACTGTAAATAATACAACAATCATAAGTATAATATTTATATTTACATAATATTTACATTACATTCTCATCAAAACCGAACATACTATGTGTGCTGGTAATAAAATAGTCACTCATTTTATATTTCTTTTTGATTAAGCTAGACGGTAGACCGATGTGTCATCTGGGGAGAGCGTGGGAACGCGCGGGGGGCGGCGTGGGGGGCGACGACGTCTGCGGGGCCTGCACTCGCAGTGCAACGCGCAAAGACCAATCCCTGCACAGCCAGACAGGAACAGGGGAAGCGCCAGGGTCCTCGTCACCGTCGCCACTTGCTCGCCTCGCGACCATCGCGGCACCACCACACTATGGTCCGCCCTCGACCAGTAGCACTTGTACTTCGCACCCACATACCCATAGCTCGTCGTGAAGTTGTCGCAGTCAACCGACGGCGGATACCCGCAGCCCTTTATATTAACGAATAACACTGCCGGACGCCAATCTTCGGAATACGCCTTGTACTTCACGTGAAGCTGCGTGCATTTGTACGCGTCGCTGGTGCAGCCTTCTCTGCATGATGCCCAGGTGCAGTTATCGAGTCCCAAGCGGTCGTCGCGCCTTTCGGTGACGCAGTCTGCGGGGACCGGGTCGAAGTCTGCAGCGAGAGCGCTCAGTGCAGGATCTGCGTATAACGGAACGAGGAATAGTAACGCAGAAGCTCCTCCGCCGAGTAGCGTTGCGAGCATCACAGTTATGTATCTGGTTAGGGTGGCTCGAGTCTCGCCTCGGCGGCGAGACGGCCTCACGACCAGTCGTTCAGAGCTGCCGCCTCTCATTTTGCGAGCACTTGTCAACCCATGTTGAGGAAGGTAACTAAACTGAATGTATTCGGTGCAGTATTGGCAGGCGACGCGCGCATGGGAGGTCGGGCTTGCGCAGTGATGGCCGATTGACTGGCTGCGGTCTAGGTACTTGAATGAAGCGTAGGTTTCTGTTTACGTCTGCATTTAATAATGGGCGAGAGGCTGATTGACCTATTTTGTAAAGAATGCTGAAGAGCTTAGGGAAAAATTGCTTAATTAATAACTTTTATAGGCTTTTAACTTTTTTCTAAGTGTTCTATCTAAGTGTTTGCTAACGTAATTAAGTAGGTGATCCAACATTGCGGGTTAGCGAATTCGATCGAATTTTCCAGAACAGCCGAGACTTAAAACTGGGTTAGGTACTCACAATGGCTTATAATACAAAGCTTTTACCTTTTGTTTGACTGCCTGCCTTTGCGTATAGATAGGTGGGTATTTATACGCAAAGGCATGCCCATGTATAACAACATGGGCATGACATGAACTACGAAATAAGGCTGCAAGTAGGTAGGTCCTAGCTAAGCCTACTTACATTACTAAGAACTTTATACAACTGCATGAATTTAGATAGGCAAATAGGCATTAAGTAACTATTATCCCCCGGTTTCCAAATTGGGATTAGGCTGTAATTCGCTTGAGCGAGCTCATCTTCTATAACTTAATTTTAATCTTTAAGTTTATACCTAATACTTAGTATGTTATTGTTTAACTGTATGAACAAAATACAATAAATAAATGATGGGCAGTGAGCTCAAGCTAAAAATCTCAATTTAGAAACTGGGGGTAGATTTAGTTTATTAAATGATAAGGCAAGGCTTTATTATTCTAAATAATAAATACTAAATAATACTAAAAGCATTGATTAAAAATCATGATCACATTGGCATGCATCGGGGAATCGAACCCGAAACCTTCGGTAATTCCGCGAGGAATCACTTTTCATACCTTATGGTTTTGAATTAAATATTATGTAATTATGTAAAATCAAAATCACACCATCCTTTTTACTTCTGAAATTAAAAACAAAATAAGTTTTGTACTTCAATAAAATGTAACAAAAAAGTTTTTTCTATTACATTTTATTTTTTGTATTTCAATTGAATAATTTCATTACTCAATACTTTCGATTGTTAACATTGATTAAAAACCGTAATTAAGCTAATCGCACCCATCACTATGCATTTTTTCTGTACGTTGGCAGAACGAGCACCTGAAAAATATTTCTCAAAATGGCGGCTTAACTGTGAGCCCAAGATGTTGTCAGTCAGTTTTTCTGAATTGTGAAGTTAATCTGTTTTAAAATAATATATCTAACTAATAATTAATATAGTGCTAGTGAATTAACAGTTTTAGGTATGTCTGTCTCCTTTTTTAAATCGTTTGTTAATACATTGAGAAAATCTTTGCCGCGGCATCCTATTATAACAGGTACTTATTTGCATAAAAATTCCATAATTCTATGTTTAGATTTGCTTTACACTCGTAAATCAGTTCTATGTGGATGTCCTATGTTGTATACTCATTATTTATGAATGATCACTCTGAATATACAAAAATTACCATTTCACTCCAACGACCTTTTAGGTTAGGTATTGTATGTTGTATTACGACGTATTTTGATATTAATTTATGAATATTGGGTCAAGAATCTATCTTTTTAGTCGTTGGAATTCAGGCAGATTGTTCTTTCAATAAACAAATACCATCTTCTTATGACTGTTGTTCTAGTATGCATGGTTATTGTTTTGTACATTTCCTCTTTTACCTTTTATTCTACACTTTTAAATATGTTGTGAAATCTTATTTTATTAGGAGCCCTGAAATCATTGTCAGTCATGGAGGTGCCTAAAGTAGAAGTTAACGAGGAACAAATTGTCTCAAACAAAAACTTTACTCGCTACAAAAGGCGATATATGAAGCGACAGTGGGAGGATGTGAACCCCAACAAAAAAGAAAACGGCGAAACTGACGAAAAGAGAATTTGTGATAAACCAGTAGAAAGGATAAAGCGGAAAAAAATGGCTGTATTGTTAGGCTACTCGGGAGTTGACTATTTTGGTATGCAAAGGTTAGATTCGGTTATTATTTTAACAAATTGGTCTTACCCCCAGTTTCTGAATTGTATTTTTTATTAGCATGCTCATTTTGTACTTAATGAGGGTTTTCGCGAATGAAAGATCCGCTAAACGGCGGGACGTGGATGTGGGATCTGACTGCTGCGCGATTGGTGGATTTTGACATATCTGTCAATGTCATGTCAAACATAACCAATCATGCAGCATTCGGACCTCGCGTCTACGTATTGCCATCTGGCGGATTTTTCATTCGCGAAAACCCTCATTGTGTATATTAATTTAGAAACCAAGGGTAAGCGTAAAAAACCTTCAATTTAACGCTTTAAGCGTGCTGAATGCAGATGGTCATTTGTTTTTATTATTTTCTAGGAATCCTGGTGTTAGAACCATAGAGGAAGATTTATTCAAAGCATTATGGGAAGCCAAATATATCACAGAAGAAGATTACAACAACCAACAAAACACCCAGTTCCAAAGGAGTTCTCGGACAGACAAAGGAGTTTCGGCTGCCAGACAGGTTGTGTCATTAAAGCTACGTTAGTATTTTTTATTCCGGCCTAAATATTTAAACGCTCCTGAGTATTTTGGACAAATTTCAACTATATCAGTCACTATTAAATACTTACTAAAATTGTTTTTGCAGCACTTGAAGTCCATATAGAAGAAATAAACAAAAATCTACCAGAATGTATCAGGGTATTTGGTGTAAAGAGAGTAACAAACAAATTCAATTCCAAAATCAGTTGTGATGCACGGACATATAGCTACACTCTTCCCACTTTTGTCTTTGAGCCCAGTTTAGAGACGGAAGAAGAGAGAAAGCAATATAGGATAACACCAGAGAAGATAGAAGAAGTAAACCAAGTCTTATCAAATTATAAAGGAACTAAATGCTATCACAATTTTACCCAAAAGAAGTAAGATGTTTTCTATAATCTACTTTAATTATTGACGTAACCATGTGCCACATTTTTGAGTGTGTGGAATGAATTTTAGCGCCATTTCTATCATTTGTTCTTTTATTTCAGACACTTCCATGATCCTTCTTCGTTACGATTCATGATGGGTTTCAATTTAGATAAAGTTTTTGTTGAATCAGACATGGAGTTTGCTGTTTTATTGGTTAAGGTTAGTGAAAGAAAAGTACATACTCAAGTTTTTTCTTTATTATCATTTTCTCTCAAAACAACTTGCAGAATACAGATTTTTTGTCGGCCTTTAGAATAGGCGCACACCGTTGATTTTTTATCGGCCGATAGTTTAGTCGGGCAGTTGATCAGTATGGGCGTGTATGGGAGTGCGCACACTACGCCGATTCGATTTGGCCGGTTCTTCATACAAATTAAAATCGGGCACAACTATCGGCCAACTAAAAATCAACGGTGTGCGCCTACTCTTAATTTAGTCAGGCTTTTAATCAGTATGAATGTTGCAGTCAAATCTCATAATCGGACAAAACCACTTTTGACTGCAAAAATCAGTCAAAAGTGGTTTTGACCATGCAAAAAAATTATTTAACCGACCGAAAAAATTAATAATCTACCTATCTTTTACTTGACGAATACTTAACAACACTGTTGTACCTAAGTTGGTGTGATCATTTTGTATGCACAAATCACAAAAAAATTACACTTTAAAATGGTTTTTAACACTTTTTTGATATTTCCATGTAATTTGCACTAATCATGACACTTTTTATGAAGTATGACTGATTGGTAAAATTTTTAATCAGGTGAAATCTGACTGATTTTTTCAGTCAAAAGTGTTTTTTTTGACCGATTAATGAGTTTTGACTGTAACATGAACATGAATGGAAGTGAGCAAGATTTTTTTAGAAGCCAGAAACCAAATTGTATATCTTGTGCAACAGTTCCTTCATCGAGACTGATTTTCCCACTGCCTTTTTAGGGTCAAAGCTTCATGTTGCACCAAATAAGGAAGATGGTGGGGCTGATGATTGCCGTAGTCCGAGGTCATACGGACTCCTCTACTGTGGAGAAGGCGTTCACTAAAGACAGGGTGATGGTGCCCACCGCTCCAGGCCTAGGACTTGTTTTGGACATGGTAAGTTTGATTTCATCATCATCATCATTTCAGCCACAGGACGTCCACTGCTGAACATAGGCCTCCCCCAATGACTTCCACATCGCACGGTTGGTAGCGGCCTGCATCCAGCGCCTTCCCGCTACCTTTATCAGGTCGTCGGTCCACCTTGTGGGTGGACGTCCCACGCTGCGTTTTCCGGTACGTGGCCGCCATTCTAGAACCTTGTTGCCCCATCGGCCGTCAGTTCTGCGTACTATGTGCCCTGCCCACTGCCACTTCAGCTTGCTGATCCGTCGGGCTATGTCAGCGACTTTAGTTTGTTTACGGATCTCCTCATTTCTGATTCGATCTCGTAAAGAAAGTAAGTTTATGTTTTTTGAATGATTACACATAATAACTGGAGTGGAGGCCGCGTCCCAGAAAGCGCAGCGTGGGACGTCCACCCACAAGGTGGACTGATCTGGGGGCACGGCAGTGCCCCCACCAAGTCGAGCAAAAAAGCGGCACGGCCGTACCATCCTTTTCTCGAAGCAATTCAGGCCATTTTCGACCGCCTGTAACTTCGTTGTGGATAAAACTAGAAGGCTGAATTTTCATTAGCTATGCAGGCATTGTAAAGACACGGTATATTTAAAATTTCATTCAATTTGAACCAGTAGTTTAAGAATTATAACGGGTCAAAGTTACTTAATTTTGTCACTCACTGACTGCTTGATCTTAAAGCCCGGTCTGTGAGCACGTAGAATTTTGTCCAATGACCCCTAGCTACCCATCCTTATCGCTCGCGCGTTATTATATTGCTGTCGCGACTGTGCGACGGGCGCCCGCAGTGAGTGCGCGACAGCAACATAATTACGCGCGAGCGATAAGGATGGGTAGCTTGGGGTCATTGGACAAAATGCTACGTGCTCACAGACCAGACTATAGCCCAGGACAAGCAAAACTGGAGCAAGATGGAGGAAGCTTTTGCCCACACAGGGTGCCAAAGAATTAGCAAAAGAAATATTTTTAATGAATTCATTTATCATAGCCAAACTGTTTTTGTGGATATAAAAGATTTTTATATATTTATTTTATTATTATTACATCATCATCATCTCAGCCATAGGACGTCCACTGCTGAACATAGGCCTCCCCCAATGCTTTCCATGTTGCCTGGTTGGTAGCAGCCTGCGTCCAGCGCCTTCCTGCTACCTTTATAATGAGATCCCATCAAAAACAATACTTGTCAAAAAAACCAAGTCTCGCAACTCAGTTGTTCTACGGTAAAAAGTTGTGAGATCCATGTAATACCAAGTCCAGGCCAGGAAATCTTTAACGTTTTACATAAATATATTGACTTGGCCATCGCATGAAAACACGTGTAAATTAAATTATTTAGTGCGATGGCCAAGTCAATAATTTATGTAAAACGTTAAAGATTTCCTGGCCTGGACTTGGTATTACATGGATCTCACAACTTTTTACCGTAGAACAACTGAGTTGCGAGACTTGGTTTTTTTGACAAGTATTGTTTTTGATGGGATGACATTATAAAGGTAGCAGGAAGGCGCTGGACGCAGGCTGCTACCAACCAGGCAACATGGAAAGCATTGGGGGAGGCCTATGTTCAGCAGTGGACGTCCTATGGCTGAGATGATGATGATGTAATAATAATAAAATAAATATATAAAAATCTTTTATATCCACAAAAACAGTTTGGCTATGATAAATGAATTCATTAAAAATATTTCTTTTGCTAATTCTTTGGCACCCTGTGTGGGCAAAAGCTTCCTCCATCTTGCTCCAGTTTTGCTTGTCCTGGGCTATAGTCTGGTCTGTGAGCACGTAGCATTTTGTCCAATGACCCCAAGCTACCCATCCTTATCGCTCGCGCGTAATTATGTTGCTGTCGCGCACTCACTGCGGGCGCCCGTCGCACAGTCGCGACAGCAATATAATAACGCGCGAGCGATAAGGATGGGTAGCTAGGGGTCATTGGACAAAATTCTACGTGCTCACAGACCGGGCTTTAAGATCAAGCAAATTGTTGGCCGCTGACCGCTGTTCACATTATGTCATCAGCCCACCTTTCCTTGGGCTTCCCAACATTCCTCTTCCCCTTTGGTCCTTTCCAGTCTGTTAATGCTATAGTCCATCTTCTATCTATAAACGATTAACATAATACTCTTATTATTATAATTAGTAATAAAACTTTTTCACTATAGGTTCACTACACAAGGTATGATACTCGGTACAAGGACAGCCACGAAAGCCTGACGTGGGAGGCTGAGGAGGACACCGTCAACAAGTTCAAACATTCACACATCTACCCCAGCATCGTCAAAGGTATGTCCTTCCTTCTCAGCTAAAAAGCGTCCACTGTTGGACAATGACCACCCCCAAGGATTTCCATACGGGCCTTGCCACACTGGCGGGTTACAAGCGTTTTCAAAGCTAAGCGGCAATGCCGCGGTTGCGCAACGTTTCTGCCTAGAGTTCCGCCTCGTGTTCGCCGCGGAGCCGTGACGTCTCCGCTGAAGAGACGCGGCGTGTTCCCTGCGTCGCTGCTCCGCTTTGAAAACGCTTGCAATCCGCCAGTTGGCCTTACGTAATGGAATTAATTACATTCATATTAATTTTAAAAACTTACCTTGCCTTCTTTGTGCTTATTTTTTAGTGTGTGTGGACTATTCGTACTTTATTATCATATTTAGCACTGTCACTTTCATCTGTCTTACGCAGTTTAGATTTTTTCATACAAATGTTTTTTTCCCGCTAACTCCCGTTCCCGTGAGAATTTTGTAATATCCTGTTGTAACTAAGTTTTAAGTTTACTAAGGTACCTGCATGCCAAATTTCACCCTCTGGACACGTGGTCCGACTGCTTTGTCCGATTAATCGGACCACGTGAACTTTTTTTTCCTGTTGGTTCGATTAATCGGACTACAAGGAATCGCAATTCCACTTCGTCCGACTAATCGGACTTGAAATAAATTAAGGGTGGTATGCAACAAAATCGATCCATGGAAACTATTTCGTGACAATTTCATATTAACTACCAATGCGATGCTCTTTGGTCATAATAATAACAAGAGCTTCCTCGTGAACGCTTGGCATGGAAAGGTTCACTATTAAATAAATTTATAATAATAAATTTAAATTAATATTGATTTGAATAAATTAATACAAATATGTAAAGGTATAAATAATTTTAATTAAAGATTGTTTCATTTAATGTAAAACGACCTCCTTTTAGTTCAATTCAAAGTTCAACTGAATTGAACTTTCAGGAAAAAAACCGTAAAGTCAACTTTCTTAAGCAATCTTTCAAGGAAGTTGAAATAAACGGATTTTTTTTATAAACATTTCCTAAATATTTATATTATTATAGATAGGTTATGTAGGTATTCATTTGTTTTCCACATGTTCAATAGGGATGTTTCCTGGGTAAAAAGCAAGAGTTTTAATTAGTCCGTCAGTTAGCTTATCAAAAAATACTCGACACCTATTTTTCACTTTTTAAAACTAATGAAAATGTAGAGATAAAGCGTGCCAAAGTTCTAAAGAAAAGGCCCGTGACGTCAGTGAGTGCGTAAAAGTGCTGCACTTTGTGACGTCGCGCGGAACTTCAACGCACTATAACTTTGTAATTATTTGATTGATTGACAATTAAAAATATACGTGTCCAATATTTTTTTATATTAAATTTGACGGACTAAAAAAATTTTTTTAGGAAACTAGCCTAAAAAATCAATCAAAAATATTCAATAGATTTATTATAGTTGAATTTTTAGGAAAATATATTCCGTTTATTTCAAATTTCTAGAAAAATTATGAAAACTATGGATTTTTTTTCCTGAAAGTTCAACTCAGTTAAACTTCGATTTGAACTAAAAGGAATAGGTCTGTTATAGTTTATCAATTAAGAAAATGCAATTAAAAAGTGTTGAGTTAATGAAATAATAAATGTATCTTTCTTTCTTTCTTTCAAATAGGTTGGGCGGTTAAATGTCGGACCATATAACCTTAAGAACAGAAAGTCTTGATAGTCCGACTCCATAATCGAACCAACAGGAAAAAAAAGTTTACGTGGTCCGATTAGTCGGACAAAGCAGTCGGACCACGTGTCCAGAGGGAAATTTCAAGCGTCTAACTTAAGCGGTTTAGATTTTTCGGTTTAGATTTTTCATACAAAAAGATTTTCCCGGTAATTCCCGTTCCCGTGGGAATTCCTAAGTATACTATAACCTGCCCAGGAGTATGAAGAATAATTGTACCAAGTTTCGTTAAAATCCGTTGCGTAGTTTTTGTTTCTATAAGGAACATACAGACGGACAGACAGACAAAAATTTTACTTATTGCATTTTTGGCATCAGTATCGATCACTAATCACCCCCTGATAGTTATTTTGAAAATATATTTCATGTACAGAATTGACCTCTCTACAGATTTATTATAAGTATAGATTTAAGATGCATCTCAACCAATTTTTATAGTTTTAAAAAATCTTACTCTATTATGAATTTTACTCTCTTATGTTGTAAAGGTGAAGTCGAAGGCAACTCTATGGCCGAGTGGTTGGAGAAACTAACTCAGCATTCCTACGAGCCCAGCGATGACGCTCCTGTAGATAAAACATTAGAAGACGGCGAAAAAGACCTCAATTACGACGAAGATGATGATGACGGCAACGATGACGATGATGACAGCGACAACAAACGGAGGAAACAAGTGAAAGACAAGAAAAACGATAGTAATACGGATGGTGTCAAGAATACGGAAAATGAAATTTTGAATACAGACAAGAAATTAACAAATAATGAAAATGAAATTATAGATAAAGAAGTCTCAGTAAATAAGGAAGAGGAGCCAAGTTTGCAGAGAAAAGAGGTTAATTGAGTGTTTTTGTTAATTCAATTAATGTATGAATGACAAATGATAAGGTTCCTGGTTCAATTCCTGGAAAGGTCAACTTTAAATCGAAAATGTAACCAGAGCATATTAGCTATTTTAGTTGATGTGATTGATGATATCAATGTATAGGAATTATGATGAATAATGTAGTGTTTGTAATTATGCTAAGTTGTATCTAGTTTAAGTAGATATTTTTATTTGACATGGATCAAATGGTGCATTTAATGTAATGCATTAATAAACATGGCAGAGCCATTATTGTAATATGGCATTTTATTTGTTTGTTAATATTATGTAATCCAACGTTCTGAATAAGTATCAGTGAAAAGATATTAAATTGTAATTTTAAGGGCTATATTTCACTGGGGCACCATGGCGGCGCAACCAGTCGCCGCTACCAACAAAATGTATACAGCTGTGCGCAACTAAACGGACACCAGGTGAGTAACTCTCTAGTTACTCACCTGGTGTATCTATAGAGATAGACCTGTATACATTTTGTTGGTAGCGGCGACTGGTTGCGCCGCCATGGTGCCCCAGTGAAATATAGCCCTAAAGCTCTTTTATACAGTCAGCGCGAGCGTTACATAGTTCGTGACACCCAAAGTAGCCAAAAAGTTCGCAACACGTCTTTGTTACAATAAAATTGGAATAAGTTGTGTTGTCAACTTCTTGGCCACTTTGAGTGTCACGAACCATATGACGCTGACTGTATGTACCATAGCGCGCTGAAGATATTTTATTTAGGAGAAAAACCATGTGTGGAGACATGGTCCTTAAGTGCTAAGTAAGTTATTATATGTGTCGCGGCGTCCAGCCTGCATGGTCAAAGACATAGACTAGGACTGGCTGACGACAAACGAGACGACGTTTTTCTCGGACTTGACATTTGACAGACGACGAACAATGGACGGTAATTTTATCAGGAAATTGTGAAATACAATAAATATTGGTTTAAGACAATAAACCAGTCCGACGAAGCCTTGACTTTTTCTTAAACCGTCACGACGACGACGGTTCAAGTGGTTCTTCGAGCAAAAACAGAATCAAAATATGGAAACACGCAGTAAGTCAAGGGCCGTGGCTATGACTACGACTGTGTGAGCGTGTGGCTGAGTGTGATTTTACAGTAGAAAAATAGAAGATAGATTTGTCCACGAAATTAATTTATTACAACAGTAGGAATACATAATGGATAGCTCTTTTTATTTTCTATGACACAAGTGATAATCAACAGTGAAGAACATTGTTTCTATAGCAACTTAAATTTATTCATAACGCCGCTTTGCTTGCCAGCTACATTAACATCTCTCGGCGTGTATGCCTATAAGTTGCAAGGTCTTCACTAATGCCGGTCTAGCAATTGCCTTCGTAAACATATCTGCCAACTGCAGAGTACTGGTTATCTTCTTTATTTTTAGCTCCCCATTTGTCACGAGTTCACGAACAAAGAAATGTCGAATCCTGATATGCTTTGTTCTTTTGTGGAACTCTGGGTTCTCTGCTAATCTTATAGCCGCCTCATTATCCACTTTAAGTACTGGTGTTGAAACATCCCCATTCGTGATGTCCTTCATAAGTCGTGTCAGCCATAATGCACTCTTTAGCTGCTTCACTTGCTGCCACGGTTTCGGCTTCTGTGGTTGATATAGCCACGCTGGATTGTCGCTGACTCATCCATGATACAGCACCTCCTGCATAGATGCACAATACTCCTGAAGTTGACCTTCCAGTAATCATACAACCGCCATGGTCTGCATCAGAATAACTTTCTATCATACCTTCTTATAATCTCGTTTGTAGATTATTCCAGTATCAGGAGCATACTGCAAGTATCGCATGATCCGCTTAACTCGCTTGCAGTCTTCCACTTTTGGATTCTCAAGGTTCCTAGATACGACACTAACAGCATATGCAATATCAGGTCTGGTCCCAACCATTAAGTAAGCTAATGCTCCAACTATCTGTCTGTAGTTCTTCAGAATCGCATCTACATCCTTCTCTGTGTTATCAGTATCCTTTACTATAGGAGTCATCACTGGTCGGCAGTCTTCCATACCAAACCGCTTTAACACTTTCTTTGTATAAGATGCCTGAGAAATCTTAATACAATCTTCTCTGGTTTCAATCTCTAAACCAAGGAAAAATGACGCTGGTTTCGTAGTTATCTTAAAATAACCTCTCAAGTCACGCATAAACTCGCTAATGACCTTTTCATTTGTACCAGCAACAAGACCATCATCGACATACAGGGCAAGTATAATCCTTTCTCCATTACTCATGTTCCTCAAGAAAAGACAAGTGTCCGCTTCACTATTACGGAATCCCATTTTTCTCAGAACATCTACGATGCGTTTATTCCAGCATCGAGGTGCTTGTTTTAAGCCGTAGAGGCTCTTACTCAGTAAACAGACTCGATTCGTACCATCTTCAAAACCTTCTGGCTGCTTCATGAAGATTTCTTCTTCCAGGTCGCCATATAAAAATGCTGTAGAAACATCAAACTGTAACAGTGACAGACCTTCAAAATAAGATTCAGGCAAGGTATCCAATATCTTGCAAATTAATAAAAGCTCTGGCAAATTAGCACCAGCTTCCACCTTTTTCAATTCTTGTCGCAATTGGAATTGAGAAATTACGCAGAATCCGCCTTGGTATATCGGAAAAAATCCAGACACAAATCGTAACTTTGTTGTCATTTACACCATCATACAGTTTGTGCAATTCTTCCCATACCTCCTTAGGTTTCGACAGTCTTATAACTTTGTCCAATGTCTCATCGCTTATATTATTTGTTATGAGAACTAGAGCTATGCTTTCCAATCTCCTGTGCTCTTTAACAGCAGCAATGTAAGTTGCCAACGACTCTGCCGCACCCGCTGCATCTCCTGCAGCTGCTTTAGGTCTTACCGGCTCTACTACTCTAACTTCAACTATATCCAATAGTCCGTCAATGCCCGATAGTACCGCGGACATCCGGTACCTCCATTGGACCCAGTTGTTGGTGTCCAACTTTGCAATTTGTACTCTCGTCAGATCCATCTTCTATCTAACTCGAAAAATCTGGGCCCATAACCTGTGTGAGCGTGTGGCTGAGTGTGATTTTTATAGTAGAAAAATAGAAGATAGATTTGTCCACGAAATTAATTTATTACAACAGTAGGAATACACAATGGATAGCTCTTTTTATTTTCTATGACACAAGTGACAATCAACAGAACATTGTTTCTATAGCATCTTAAATTTATTCATAACGCCGCTTTGCTTGCCAGCTACATTAACAAAGCTAGCTATACAGAGGCAGGCGCTGCTAGACGAAGAATTTCGCGTGCAATCTATCTCATGCCCAATCACGCACTGAGTTGCAATCTGCAGTCGATCGGTGGGCATGAAGTAGCTATGCCAAGATATTGTACAGATGATAATTTGGGTAAAGTTCTGCGTCGTTCTTGAATTCGGTCGATTTGTGAATAATTCACTTTATTGGTGAATTTGTTTTCTTTTGACCTTTTGACATTACTATAAAATTTTCATCTTTTTTAATTCACTGTGTTCAACTTGAATATTCAAAGTTCATTGTGAGCTGATCGTAGTTATTTGGCCCTGCTGAGCATGACGATGGCCAAGAATTGAGCATCCAAAGATATCAGTTGTGACAAATCCTGAAGCCAGATAATGGTATCAATAAAAAATAATAAGTTAGGACGCAAGGCGGGCGGCCTTCATTACTTGATCGACCGCCGAGTTGAGCGGACGTGAAGCGGAGTAGAAACTATCCAGCGTTTTATTTCTCACCAGAGCTCAAAATAAGGACACTACAGTTGTCATGTCTGTGCTGAAGAGCCTCAATAAACCTAGTCCTCGTAGGCTTTACTCAGATTGTTCGATGCTTCACGCACATCTTTTGAGTTCCTCGCTAGAGGGTTGCACACTTTTGCACCGTCAGGCATGTTCTTGCTCTTGTTTTGTCTTTGGAAATGTCATCGATAGTGTCCCAAAAGTTTTTATGAAAAAGGAAGTCTCTATCGGTGTCTCCTTAAACACTTGACATTGGCAGAATCACCGCGGCAATAAATCCGCGGGAAGTCTCTATCGGGAAGTAACTATGGCGAATAAAAATGATCCTATAATGTTGTCAGGGTTATTTTCTGAAAATTTATTCAGCGAAACAAAACAAAACAGCATTATTGATTGTGTAAGGTTGTTGATGGATAATAATTTTGTTCGTTTCAAATTATGTAAATTGGTGCCGGTTTTCGGCTTACCTGGATTGTTAGAGAGTTATTTCCAACATTTCAGGACAATGTATACTAAATAGTACATTCTTAACTAAATAATGTTTTCATTGTTTCATTGTTAGGTACTTAGGATTTAGTTGTAGATTTTTCATCATTTTGTCCGAAATTATGTTGTGGAAACTTGGTAATTAATGCTGCAGTAATTCAGGTTACTTGGAAACTGTAATGGTGCGTCTACATTGGGCGAACGGGCTCGCGCGGCACGCTGGTCATCCTGCTCACCCTGCTCTTGATTGAGCAGGATGTCGAGTTTGTCGCGCGAGCCCGTTCGCCCAGTGTGGACTGTGGACGCACCATTAAATGAGTACATACATACATAAATTTTCTGGGCGATGTTGAGGTTGTAACATTGCAATTAATTAATATTTTAGGAAATAACATTTTTACTTAGTCGGTAAGTCAGTCAGTCGTTTTTGGTAGTCTGTAATTGGTATAATATATTCGTATAAAATGTAGTTGAAATAATTTTATGGTTTTTATAGGATTTTTTAGGCAGTGAAATGAGTAACTTATATTTTCTGGGCGATGTTGAGGTTGTAACTATTGTAATTAATTAATATTTTTAGGAAAAAATTTTTTACTTAGTCGGTAAATCAGTCTTAAAAAATTATCTTGGTATAATATATTCGTATAAAATATAGTTAGAAGAATTATACGATTTTTGTAGGATTATTAGGCAGTAAAATGAGTAACTTGTATTTTCTGGACAATGTTGAGGTTGCCACATTGCAATTAATTAATATTTTAGGAAATGAAGTTTTTACTTAGTCCGTAAGTCAGTAGGTCGTTTTCTGGTAATGGTATATTATTATTCGTGTAGTTATTTATTCATTGGGAAGAATTATACGGTTTTTATAGGATTATTAGGCAGTAAAATGAGTAACTTGTATTTTCTGGGTGATGTTGAGGTTGTCACATTGCAATTAATTAATATTTTAGGAAATGAAGTTTTTACTTTTAGTCGGTA